GTAGCTTTTGCAGGCTTTACTCCTAGAAAAGTAATTCCTGGGCTTGTAACTTTGTCTCTGTTTGTAGTTCTTACTCCTGCCCTTTCATTTATTTGGGTTGGTGAGCTTCTTTCTTGAGCATTACTTTGGAATCCATTGTCTGGTGTTGCTTAAGGAGCCATTCCACCTTTGGGCTGAATAACTAAGCTTCTAACAAAGCTGATGTACTTCTTCAGAAGTCTTCTGCAGCCCTCGCTTGATCACTTTGTTTTCTTAAAAACTCAAGAGATAGGAAATACAAATGTAAAGTGACTGTTGCTCAGCTGTGTGGCACAAGAGGATTGGAAACTGCTATGTGTGGTCTTGGATTAATATGAAGATGTCTTCATGAAACTAGACATTTCTTAGCTATACAGATTTCATCAAAATGTTTTATCTAAAATGAATACACTTTTTTTTTTTTTAATAGGCTGTGCGTGTTACAAAACCTAAAATCCCTGAAGCCATCCGAAGGAATTTTGAGCTAATGTGAGTAGCAGCACCTAAAACTTACAAATTGGTTCTGAGGGTTCAGCATGAGCATAATACTGTTAGAAAACTCTTACCTTTTGCTCAGATGGTGAGAAGTGTACTCTGCTCACGCTTGTACATGAGGTACATTTCCTTCAACCCACTGGCTTAAACAGGGCTAGTTGTCTCTGCTGCAGGGGAATGCTGCTAACATCTGGTCAGCATCTTTTCCCCCTGTCCTCTTGTGCCCTTGTTTGCAGAAGTGTTTATCCAGCTCTGTTTTCATGAGATTGCTTCTTGTCCTGCAGGGAGGCTGAGAAGACTAAGCTCCTCATTGCAGCCCAGAAGCAGAAGGTAGTAGAGAAGGAGGCAGAGACAGACCGGAAGAAAGCGCTCATTGGTATGTCAGCATACTTGGGCAAGAGACAGTTTCCATTCCTACATCTCATGGGAGACCAATTACAGGACAATGTCTTGATGAAACTGTGCCAGCAGTCAGTGGGAGATGTAGAAAACAGAAGTTTTGGTGCTGCTGTGTCTTCCTCCCAAAACTGCAGAGCAGTGTCTTTGTCCTACAGCAGGGCTGCTTTAGAGAAGGTCAAGAGTTAACATCTCTGCCAGCAAAACTGGGCTTTAAGCTAAATGCCCTTGAGTAAGAGGAATCACACCTTAAAAGGAATATTGACTAGTTCTGCTCTAGAAGCACCAGGACTGTTTTCTTTCTTAGAGCACAAGCTGGCACAGAGCTGTGCAGCACTATAGGATCTGAGCAGAAAGGGAGGCAGCAGAAGCAAATCACTTTTATGTCTGTGACAGAGGGCTGGGGTCAGATTGCTGATTCTCAGGCCTCGCAAAGCATATGTCTGAGCTGAGCCTGTTGTGATTGCAGAGGCGGAGAAGACTGCCCAGGTGGCCAGAATTCACTATCAACAGAAGATTATGGAGAAAGAAACAGAGAAGCGGATTTCTGAGATTGAAGGTAACTGTGGAGCTAGTGTGCTGTGGGGATTATCTTTCAGCTAAGAGTGGTGGCAGGTAGAGAAACCTCAGAACCAGACTCGCAGGTAGTACCGCCCTACAAAAATAACAGAGGCCACAGCAGCACGAGATTACCTCTCAAGGGGGCCTCAAGTGCAGGTCCCTGGCCAGCCAGGCTATGTCACAGGCACACCAAGGCCAGCTTGTCCCCACATGACAGGCTTACATGCTCACTGTGTTGTGCTCTTTCACTTGCTGATGCTGCTTTTCCTGTATTAGATGCTGCATTCCTAGCAAGAGAGAAGGCAAAAGCAGATGCGGAGTACTACACTGCTCAGAAGCTGGCTGACTCCAACAAGGTGAGCACTTCAAAGCTGGTCAGAAGGTGACTTGCTTAATCTTTTCCACTCCACTGGAGACAAGCAGGCATGTGAACAGCACTGAGAAAGCACTTAATTGAGCAGCCCACATCTCAATTCCTAAGAAGTGGCTACCTGAGTTGAAATCTTGGCAATGCAGAAACTTGTCTCTTAAGTCCCCGTTTCTTCTTTTCTAGCTGAAACTTACCCCAGAGTATCTGGAACTCATGAAATACCAGGCAATAGCTGCGAACAGCAAGTTGTATTTTGGTGACAGCATCCCCAGTGTGTTTCTGGATTCTTGTGCCTTTCAGCAAGCTGAAGTGAGGACTACCCAAGAAACCAACCTTCCTCCTCAGGAAATCCAGGAGAGCCCTGCAGACAGCCACTTCAAAACAAAGGGAAATACTGGCTGACAGAGGTGGAACAGAACCCATTGTAGCTCAGCAGCTCTCCCAGTTGTGAATGGGGATGTTGCCCGATGTTTGATGGGGCAGATGCAGCATGTGCGTGGGCATCCTGCCTGTAGTTGGCAGTTGGGTTGATTTTTCTTCTAGTGATGAATTGCAAGCACTCTGCCTCTCTTGTTTCTTCCCTATAAAATTGGTGCTTCCAAATGAGGGAATATCCTGTACTAACAAACTTATACTGGAATATTAAAGGACAGACACCAGGAAAGCCTTCCACAGCAGGTGCGGTTATTTAGCAAACATTATCCTTGAGGTAGGAGATGTGGCTTTTGAGTGCTGTATGGCTGCACGCTATTTCCTACTGCTCCTTGCTGAGACCAAGGAAAGAGTTTGCCTTCATCTTGCTTGATACAGCTTCATTTTGTGGACTCCATGCTTCTGTCAACGTGATATAATTCTCTTCAAGGATTCTGTGTTGGTCAGCCTCTGATCCTCCTCTGAAAGAGATCCAGCAAGGAGTTTGGTGTGGAATAGATTATTTAAATAGGATCTGCATAGCCATAATCTTTTCCATTTCTGTACGCAGTGAAACTAGATAATGACTCAGAGAAAGTACTTTCAGACAGGTTTCTGTAACACCCTCCTCCAAGCTAGAGCCCTGTGCTGGGTGTCCATGGCAGGCTGCAGCGTGCTTTGCCTGGATGACTGGGTCTTGCATTGCACTGTAAGCCAGAATTCAGAGTGCATTGGAAAACTTCAGCTGCTTGGGAAGAGGGAGTCCAGCACTGTGAAATCTGTTCAGACTGCAGCATCCCTCTGGGTCTTTTCACCATGGAAAGAATGCTGAATTTCCACTGCTTTGCCCTGCTGTGAAGTGAGAAGAGATGGAAGAGCAACGAGAAATGCAAGAGAGAAATGCAAGACATTGTTGGGCCAGAGGGCAGGAGTCTTTGTGTTACCCTGCTCCTCAAACATTCTGTTAAGTATCACAGTGAGGCAGAGAATCAGTGCCTGATGTAGCCTGCCCAAGCCCAGTGCTGTCACGTGCTTGCTGTCCCACTTCTGTTGTTTCTTCTGCTCTGCCACAGATCCTGTTTGATTCCTCAGCTGCAAAGCCAGGGAGACATCATGTTTCCCAGTGATGTAGCAAAGGTGAATTTGTTCCTATAATCTGCTCTTCTATTCCATATTCTGCTTTGCCCATTTTTTCTGGGGTCTGTTTTTTGTGTTCTGTGACAATCTGAGAAGATGCTGGCAAGGACCTGAGCCAGAAAACTACGTCCCAACTTGCATTGCTGCCGCACTGCCTGCCTCTTAACCTGCTGCAGAGCCTCGCTCTCTTCCATGTGCTTTGGATACCCAGATGTTCTTCCTGCTTCCCTGTCCCTGGCACCATCTTACCTTATGGCAAGAGGAAGAACTTGCTTCAATGTTGATTCAATCCAGAATCAACAGCTGGAACTTCACATCTGCTAATGATTTCCCAATCACTGTGTGCACATCAGTCCTATTTTTCCGTATCCTGCATGGCATGTTTGACTAGAAGGTCTGCAGTGTCTCTCCTTGAGGAAATTCAGTAACATACAGTGCCTTACACTTTCTCAGCTCCTGCCTGACTACCTCTCCTTCATCTCTGGGAGAGAGCAGGGATGTTTTGACCCGTTCTTTACTTCAGCTGTCTGCAGACTCCCAGTACCCAGATGGCAGCATGTTTTGTAGCTGTGGTGATTGAAATATCTCCTGGAAGTATTCCTGGATTGACAGGATCCCCTTTTTCCTGTGGGAAGGGCTGTGAGGAGCCAGTGGAGCCACATCCCTGGCCTGCTAGCTTCTTGCTGTTTCTGGTTTGCAGCACTGACTTTACAGCAGAAAGGCAGCCTCTCCTTGCAGCAGCAGCAGCCATTGGGGTTGACTTTTAAATACAAGCTTTTTGAGATCAGAAGCATTCGATGGTGTTACAGACTCACCTACAGATCTGCCACATGCTGACATCACGCTACAGGTGGGTTATGCCAGCCTGGAGATGCCAAGGAGCAGAGGCAGCAAGGAATCCTGAGAAGCAATACTAAGTCATAACAATGATCCCACGTGGGGAGAAGGGAAGCTGGTGCATAAGGTGGTGAGCCTTGGCAGCATTGTCAACTCATCTCCTGCCACTGCCCATATGGTGACTACCGCCTTGGATAAATGTCATTCTGTGGCCAGAAGTCCTGCAGCAGTGCTGTGTGCAGGAACCTCTCCTGTTCTCATCTGCTTGCTGCGCTGTTAGTCCCAGCATCCTGAGCAGGTGTGAGGAGTGTGTTACTGCCTGTCTGCAGATGGTAGCCATGGCCTTGGCTCCTGGTCAGGGCTATGAGAGCAGAGGGAACATGCGTTTGAACTTGTTTTGCTCCTTTCTCCTTGCGTGCTCTTCTGACTAAGGGGGGGTTGCTACTGGATCAGCAGCACCTTCTTGCAGGAAACGATGCATATGTTCAAGTTTACATGCACAGTGTTCTTTTGATAAAAAAATAAAACTATTTTGATACCATTTCCTTGGTGACTTTATGTGTCTTACGGTTGGTGTTGGTGCCTCTAGTTCTGTATCTACCCATTCTGCTCTCAGTTGACTCAGTTTTACAGCACGAGCATTTCCCCCAGTCACTTCCTCAGACCCATGCTTTCTCACCAAGTGGAATTGGCACTGAGCCCCACATGGGATGTCGCACATTGCCCCAGTGCTCCCTCCTGCTCTCAGCTTTTATGACACAACACATTGAGCCACTGCTATCTTCAGTCTTTATTTGTATAAAGTATTTGACCTACATTAGATAAAAAGTGAGGAGGACCAGTTCCACAGCAAAGGGCTCAAAACAGTCACACAACAATCAGAAATTAACTGCTGGCTGTAGTAAAATGCTCCTGGAAATTCATATTTCAGAAGAGCAGGAGCCTGAGTGATAACTTCAGAGTGAAGAACCAGATGAGGAGGACTGCTGCTGTGAAGCCAGGCCTAGCTTGATGCAGGGCAAGCACAGCATCCTTGTGTCACCTGTCTTGGAGCCAGGAGCTCCTTGCTGCAGCCCCAGCAGGGACAGGGTATGAGGAGCAGGCCACCTTCACTGTAGCAGGGCACAGGGCACCCAGTAAAGGCTCGGGGCTGGCCTCTAAGTTGGAGCAGGCATCAGGAGGGACTTAGGGAGTGGGGCAAAGAGGAAAGCAGAAGACATCACTTTGGGGGTTTCCTATGGGGAAGAGTGGTTTTGGTAGTGTCCCTTTACCTGGTCCCCAAGCTTATGGCTGTCTAGACAACCTATAAAGCTAGCAAGTAAATTAAGGCACAAAAATGTCTGTAAACATGGGTGCTGTCCAGGGAGTCTGGTGAGCAATTCAAGTACCAGTGGCTCTGTGGTCCCCTGCCATCCTGCTGAAGTGCCAGGACCCACAGCTTTGCTGTCCTACATCACCTCCTGCTTACTGGTGGTTTCAGGGCCACCTTGGGGGGGAATCCTCGCTGCAACAAGGAGGAGATGTTGGTGGGCACTGGGTACCCAGAGATGAAGTGGGAGGGGCACAAGGTGCAGCTCACCTGGGGCAGGACTGGGATGGCACATGGCTAGAATGAAAGTGCCAGGGGCTTGGCAGGTGGAGCTGGTGGCAGCGGTTCTCCTGCTGCCATATTGCAGGGCTGGTAAGGGTGGCAAGGGGTGAGAGAAGTGAGGTGGCTGCCCATGCGGCACCAGCCAGAACTCGCTCCCAGCAACAGCACCTTGGGGCAGGTGGTAGCTACCTGCTTGGTCTTCAGAGCTGGCAAAGGCTTGGTGGGTGGCTTCGGCTTCTCCTGAGGGCCGGAGAAGAAAGGCTTAAGTCCCTCATCCACATACCAGGGAGGGACCTGAGCATGTGACAGTGGCCTGGCTTTGGGGCAGAGTCCTGCACTGGGAAGCAAGACACCACTGCCCACAAGACAAGGACATCACATCCAGGGCATGAGATCTCTCAGATTGAAAGGCCGCCCCACTGGAAATCCCTCTCTGGGGCCCCACACCATGCTCCTACCTGCAGGAGAGGGCAGCTGGGCACAAGGGGCCGGGCATTGCGTGAGGCTGCCATAGTACTGAGCAGCCTGGGGCTGCCGATGGCGCAGCGGGACAGCTGGTGTGGCCTGGTGCCTTCCTGAAAGAGCGGGTTGGTGAGGCCGGTGGCAGGTCTGCTGGAGATCCTCCTGTGGGACAAAGAGCCAACAGGCAACAGCATTGCCCTCAGCTCAGCTTGCACAGCCATGCCTTCACTTCCCTATAGGGCTCCTTACCCTTTCTGAAAGTACTTCTTCCCCTTGCCTCTGAGCAGCACAGTGCCTCCACCGATCAGGATACTGGACAGCACCAGCACAGCCAGCACAGCTGCCAGGACCGTGCTGCTGCCACCTGCAGAGAGCCAGTCGGCATTGGGATGGGCTTTCCTGTTCTAGGGATGCCCAGTGGGACCCTGATGCCACATCTCAGCAGAAGACACTACCTGCCGTGAGCTCCAAAACTTTGTGCTGGCAGTACGGTGGTGCCCACTCCAGCTCACAGTGGCACTCCCGTTTGTGATTGCACACCTGAAGGCACAGAGGGCAGTCTGGGCATGGGAGCCATTTCCCAGCAAGGGGTCAGAAGGAGCCCTGCTAATGTTAGCCGCAATCAGGCACAACTTACCCCATGGCCACTGCACTTAGCTGAGCAGTTCTTGTTGCCATAGACCAGGAGGTTCTGGCAGCGCCCAGCATAGCAGACCTGTGAGTGAGCAAGGGGCTATAAGTGTGGCCCTGTGGCTGGGAGCCACCCCCACCTCCTCAATGCATCCCTTCAGGGCTCACCATCTCTTCTCCACACTTGGTGCCAGTGGGCACCAGCTGGAGGCTGCCTGTCATCTCATTGGCATCATTGCTATCAAGGGCTGCTTTACACTTGAAGTGGCCAAAGGAGAGTATGAAGAAGCCGCTGCCAAGGGCAGGGCTGCTGGTGTCACTCATGCATAGCAGCGTGCCACACTTCACATCCCTGTGAGCAGAGCAGTGTCAGTCCTGCGGAACCTTGGTTGGCCCCAGGGCTAGTGATGGAAACAAGAACAGCCACCTTGCTCCTTACTTGGGGCTGCAGGGCTTCCTCCCAGACTCTGTCATGCAGTGAAGGTTGCGATCCTGCCTGCTGTTGTGCTTGAAGCATTCATCAGGAGCCACCTGAGCAGCTGCAGGAAGCACAGAGCAAGAGAGTCACAAGGAGCCAGAGCTGCAGCAAGCCAATGGTAGTCCGTCCCCACACCAGGTCCTGCCTGGCCCTGGCCCCTCCCAGAGTCGCCACACCACCTCCATGGATGTGGCACAGTGCAGAGTTGCAGCACGTGGGATGAGGACATGGTGCTACCTGCGCCCCAGAGCAGGCGGCACTGCTCTGCATGCGAGGGGCAGGCCCCATTGTAGCAGTAGCCGCGGCCACCCTGGCAGGGGATGCCATTCTCCTGGAAGACGTCCTCTGGACACTCGGAGCTGAGGCCAGCGCAGTGCTCAGGAAGGTCACAGTCATTTTTGCTGGCCCGACACAGAACACCAGCAGCCTTCACCTGCATAGAAAGTGGGACTGTCATCTCCCACCTGAGATGCTGACTGTCTGCACAGCCAGCACAATGACTGAAAGCAACACTTCACCCAGAATTGCTGGGTTTGGACAGGCAGCGGTCCTCAGGCTCTCCTGGCACACCCCCCCTACCTTGCAGTCTTGGCAGCAGTCGCCTCGTGCACACTCAGCCCCCTCTCTCAGCTGGCACGTGGTTGCATTGCAGCAGCGGTCAGAGCACTCCTGTGAGGCACACAGGGAGACAGGGATGGGCATGGCCCTCTCAGCCTCCCTGCCCTTCCACCAGCAGTCAAAAATCTCACTCCATCTCAGTGAGCCTGGGCCTGGTGATACATCAGTTTGGGCCCCTGCAGGCACAGTTCTGGAGACTTAAATGAGCTCTCGCATGAAGTGATTTTGATGAAGGAACCACCCTGGAGCCTATTTCCTGCTTACTATAAGCCAGGTCTTGAGAAGATGAAGCCAAAAAGGCTTGATTTTGAGCTGACACAGCCAAGCAGGTTCCAAAGGAAGAGGAGCTGTACGGAGCCTACATTGGTGAGACCACAGAGAGCTGACAAGTCTCGGTTTTGTTTCAGCTGCAAGATCCAGAGGGAAAACCCCATTGCCACAAATCCATGCTGCAGAGGAAGAAGGCCTTCCCAAACATCCCTTGAAAGATTCACTCCTTCATTTCAGGGAGCTGCCATGTCAGCATGTGCTGAGGGCAGGGTAGCCACAACAGGCATGAAATGGTTCCAAGTCCAACCACAAGGCAAATGCACAGCATTGCTCTGGTCCAAGACACAGCAGCATCACCTCACTGCCTGTCTGGGGACCCATCAGGGACACAAATATCTTCTGTATGGATCACTGCCTTCCCCCAGTTCAGGATGTGCAGATGTGTGGGTCATATCTCCTTCTTTGGGATGTCCCAAAACTGTGCAAAATGGGGCACGCACCTACATTAACAAACACCTTCCTCAAGTTATTCTTCAGCACAAACACAAGGAGACAGGAAAGGTCAGTCAGGAAGCCTTGCAAAGCGCAGTGGCAGGAAAGAACCAAGCACCACCCTCCCCAAGTCTGAGTGCTGGTGCCTCAGATCCCTCTGAGCTCCCAGACTGTACCTCTGGTCTGCCACAGTCACACTCCTCTCCCCGCTCTACAAACTGGTTCCCGCACACTGGCTCCCCATACAGCTCGTCTGCTCCAGGGACATTCAGCAAGCAGCCAGTCTTGGGGTCTTCAAGGAACTGCCACATGTCCTGCTCACTGCAGGTGCTGAAGAGTCTGGGGTAAGCCAAGCTGGAGGGGCACAAAACCAGGCAGTCATGAGAAGAGCTGGATGACCAACGGACCAGACTGCAGCTGAAGAACCCTTAGCAGATGCATATCTAGCTTCAAAGTCAGAGACAAAAATAGTGAATATTCCTTCGGACCTGACCATCCCACTAGCTTCACTTCAGCTCTCATCAACACAATGCTGGAGAATATCTGGAAATACTGCAACCCAGGGCTGCTCTTTACTCTTTTTTCACACTTTTCCCTTCACTCACCTGATCTTAGCTGCCATAACACATCCTCCAATCTCTTTGCTGACAGGACAGTGGCAGTCAGCAATGTCTTCGTCATGAGACATTCCCAGATTGTGCCCCATCTCATGAGCCATGGTGGATGCAGCACCAATAGGATCCATGCTGTGGTCCTATGGAAGAAGCAGCCAAACATGGTGCAGACGGCTCTTCTCTTGGGCCTCCTGAGGCTTTTTTAGATGTTTTGTGCTGGGCCTTGCTGCTGCCTGCAATTTGTCTCATGCCAAGGGAGAATCATAGGACCATACAATGGTTTGGGTCAGAAGGGACCTTACAGACCATCTGTTTCCAACCCCTGCCATGGGCAGGGTCACCTTCCACTAGACAAGGGTGCCCAAATTCTCATCTAGCCTGGCCTTGAACACCTCCAGGGATGGGGCACCCACAGCTTCACTGGACAACCTGTTCCTGCAGGACAACTGGGGGACCAGACCCAGACAGCATGGGTTCATGAAAGGCAGGTCCTGCTTGACCAACCTCATCTCCTATGATTGAGTGACCTGCCTGGCGGATAAGGGAAAGGTTGTTGATGTGATGTATCTGGACTTCAGCAAAGCCTTCAATTACTGTCTCCCGCAGTATCTTCCTTAAGAAGCTGGTATCATGTGGCTTGGACAGATACACTCTTTGCTGGGCAAAGAACTGGATGGAAGGCTGGGCCCAGAAAGTGGTGGTGAATGGAGTTGAATCCAGCTGGTGACTGGTAACGATTGGTGATCCGCAGGTGTCAGTACCGGGCCTGTTCTGTTCAGTATCCTTATTGCTGATCTGAACAAGGGCACTGAGTGCACTCTCAGTAGGTCTGCAGATAAGTTGGAAGGAAGTTTTGATCTGCCTGAGGGTAGGAAGATGTAGAGGGATCTGGACAGGCTGGATCACTGGGCTGAGGCCTGCTGTATGAGCTTTATGCCAGGTGCTGGGTCCTGGGCAGAGTGGCTGGTAAGCTGGGTGGAGGTAGAGATCTGGGGATGTTAGTTGACAGTCAGCTGAACATGAGCTAGCAGTATGCCTAAGTGACAAAGAAGGCCAGTGGCATCCTGACTTGCATCAGAAATCATGCAGCTATCAGGAGCAGGTGGTGATCATTCCCCTGCTCTCACCACTGGTGAGGCTGCATCTTGAGTGCTGTGTTCATTTTTTAGCCCCTCACTACAAGAAAGACATCGAGGCCCTTGAATGTGTTCAGAGAAGGGCATCTGTGAGGGGTCTGGAGCACGGGTCTTAAGGGGAGGAGCTAAGGGACTGTTTAGCCTCAAGAAGAGGAGGTCCTCATTGCCCTCTACAGCTGCCTGAAGGGAGGTTGTGGTGAGATGGGTAACTGGCAATACGACTAGAGGGAATGGCCTCAAGTTGCACCAGGAGAGGTTCAGGTTGGATGTTAGTAGAATTTCTTCTCCAAAAGAGGACCAGATGCTGGAATGGGTTGCCTATGGAGATGATGGAGTCACCGTCCCTGGAGGTGTTCAAGAAACATTAAGATGTCATATTATGTGACATGTTTTAGTGGGGAAATATCAGTGGTAGATGGACATCTTCAAGGTCTTTTCCAACCTTGTTGATTCCATGATTCTATTATTTTATAATTTCAGTGCCATATTTTTATAGTGAATAATCTCTTTTTAATATCTAATCTAACGCTCCCCTCTTTTAGGTCAAAGCTATTCTCCTTGCCCTATCACTACACTCTCTGATAAAAAAGTCCCTCCCAAGCTCCCCTGTAGCTTGATTCAACTAATGAAAGGCTTCTGTGAGATCTCCCCAAAGCCTTCTCTTCTCTAGACTGAGATAACTGAAGACAAAATCTGGCCCCACAGCCTCTGAAGACCACCAAACTCATCTTACAGGGGCATAAGTCAGTAGAGATACAGCAACTATATTCAAATACTGCTCTCCATTTGTTCCTATGGCCGATTGTTCATGCTCCACCGAAGGGATTAGGAGCACAACCAAACTGATCAAGTAGCAATTGCGAACCAAGTCTTGTGGTCATCTGACAGGTGGTGGGAGAAACCTCCTGTCTACAGAGCAGTTCTTGGAGGCTCCTGATGGCTCAGATCCAGCAGATCCCTCATGGCAAGCACCCAGGTGGCAGGACCCACCTGATTGACACCGCCCGAGTCCCTGGTGCACATAGCAAGCTTCTTTGCCAGCCCTACGGTTGTGTCATGGAAGTCTATACCCCTGCAGGAAGGAAACATGACCATGGGCATGCAATCCATCCACTAGTAGGGCTGCAGGGAAGGTCTACCATCCAATCTCCTTACGTGATCAGCTGGACATTGTCGTGCTGCTTCCTCTTCAGTAGGTCTGTCTCCCGCCAGCGAAGGAAGTTCTCCAGAGTCTCCTCTGCCTTGCGACTGACAGTGATTTTGTCCTTGTTGCTCCACACCTCTAAGCCAGTCAAGGCCACACGCAAGCCAAGAGGTTGATAAAGCTGCAAGGGGATACAGTCGAGAGGATCCAAGCTGCACAGCAGAGTGAAGATCCCACCTTCCCTTTGGGACCTGTCACCAATCCCAGGTCACCCTAGCCATGCAACAACAGCCTTTGAACTTTGAGGGTTGAGGGTTCTCTCTGAGGGAGAGCTGACCTACTTCTAATGCCCACTTTGCATAGCCCATCAGTTGCCGGACACTCTGCTCCGTGGTTGCCCACTTCACAGTGTGAGGCTGGCTTCATTCCAGCCCTCTCCCAAAGCTTTGACCAGTGAGCACAGTCCTATACTGGCCCTGGGGACTCTGGGCTCACCTTGTCAACATGGTTGACGATTTCCTTCATGCGGTTCTGCACCCTGCGCAAGTCCTTGTACTTCCTGAACTAAGGGAAGGACACAGAGAGGTTCCCAAATCAGTTCCACCTCCCAACAGCTGCAGAAGAGAGTGGAAACCCATGCCCACCCTCTCTTACCTCCTCATTGTCCACAACCAGGACCAGCTCCACATATCGAGGCCCTCTGTGCAAGCGGGTTGATTTCTGGAAGTGAAGATGGAAGTGAGCATAGGGAAAGATTCGGGGAAAGATCCCGGTCACTGACCCTCCCATGAGATTTGTTCTAGCACTATACAAGGCCAGGAGCTCTTCTAGATCTGCTTTCTAATATTGTTTTTCCCAGGTGTTTCAGACATCTTCCAACATAACAGGAAAAGTCCCAGACTGCTACAGCTGCATAGCAGGAGAGAGGTCCTGTGAGTCCCTGCACGGGATGAGGCTGGGTCAGTGTAAGGACAGAGGAGCATGGCCCAATTCTTCTTCCAACTTCACTGGCTATAGCACTCTCACAAACTCAGCTACAGTGAGAAAAATCAATGCAATTCCTAACCCAGTGATAGAGCTTCAGGGGTGCAGCAATCTTGGGGTCGTGGTCATACTCCAATGCAGCCTCCAGGCAGGCAATGCGTTTCATGCGCAGGTGGGATGCTCTGTACACTGCATGCTGGCCATCCTCATGCTCATCCAGAGGTTTCAGCAGGAAGATGGTCTCATTCACCCGGAAAAAGCCACTGCCAGGAGAGAGGACAGTAGTAAGGCCAGGGTGCAGACAATCTGGCAGAAACAGGCAGATGCCATGCACCCCCCTTGCAGGAGACCCTTTCCTGTTTATCTGCTTCCTCCTGAATCCATGGAAGTCAGCACAGTGGTACCTAGGGTCAATTAGGGCTTTTTTTCACCTTTTCCTCACTCCTGTTTTGTCACAGGTCCTACCTGAGCCCACTACAGGTGCTGATGCTTGCTGCAGAGTTGGCATGCCCCTCAACATGGCCTTGGTAAAAGCAGTGGTCCTGCAACCCGGAAAAGAGGCATGTAAAACGGTGGTCTTCTACAATGGAGTGACTATGTTTTCTATGATTTCTATGACTGCAGTAGCAGACAAAGGAAGAGCAACTGGTCATCTGTTCAGCTTTCTGTATGGCTTTTGGTACAATCTCCCACAACACTCCTGCCTCTAAGCTAGAGAGATAGAAGTTTAATGGAGGGATTACTTGGTGGATAAGGAATTGACTGAGTTTGGATTACATCCAAAGAGTTGCAGTCAATGGTTGAACATCCAAATGGAGACAATGGAGGGACAAGTGGTGTCCCTCAGGGATTCACACTGGGACTGAACCAATACTATTTAATATCTTCATCAGTGACATGAACAGTGAGAGCCTCAAGATGTGGGCCTGTGTGAACTTCACGTTCAACCAGGCCATGTGCCATGTCCTGCACCTGGGCTGAGGTACCTGTAGCTCATCACCAGGGAGTGTAATGATAGGACAAGAGGTAACAGCTTTAAATAAACAGAAGGAAAGTTTACATTAGGCATCAGGAAGGAATTATTCATCTAGAAGGTGGTGAGATCCTGGCGCACACTGCCCAGAGAAGCTGGTTGCCCTATCCCTGGAGGTGCTCAAGGCCAGGTTGGCAACTTGGTTTAGTGGCAGATGTTCCTGCCCATAGCAGGGATGTAGAGTGGGTCCCACCTCAGCCCACTAGCCCCAACAACATAAGAAGCGCTATGCTTCCTCCACATCACTGCCAGTACCTTTCTTGCCCCAAAAACTCATTTTCCAGAAGTGACTCCAGCCCCATACCTGGACATCTGGCTTCACCGTGACCTCAGTGCCGTCAGCCAGATAATGCGTCTCAGTGTAATGCTGTCCCAGCAGCTCCCTGCAGACCCAGACAGGGATGTCAGCAGCAGCTCCAGCTTTGGAGACAGGATGTAAAGTGCTACTCCAGACCTCTCAGGTGGGGATTGTGCCAGCTCAGTGCCATTGCAGCTGCACTCACCTGTTCTTTTTCAGGTGCAGCAGGTAGTCCCTGCCCTCAGCACGGACACTGTAGAGGACACGTTCTAGGTAGGTGCTCTGCGTGAGACAAAACAGCAGCACAAACCCTCTGTCACAAGGAACTAAGGCACAGAAGAGAGGATCCTGTTGCCCTGATCTCAATCCTGAACATGAATGACATGGGATCTACAGGCAGCCCGCTGCTGAGGAGCTACAGGACAAGGAGCCATGCTTCTCCCCAGCTGCATGCAAGCTCCTTCAGCAAAGATACAGGAAATCAGGCTGAAGCAAAGTACGCAGGCAATAATGCAAATCTCCAGCACATCCTGAACTGGCGGGCAGGCCACAGCCATAGATTGGAGTCAGCAAGGCTTGCTTCCCGTGGCTGACTTACAGCTGCAGCTGGCTGCACTAGAAACTGGGGTTTCAGCTCCTTTTTTGGGGCTGAGCTCAGCGCTTACTCATAGGCTGAACCACAAAGCTCTTCAACTGCATTCACCAGCAGACTTCCTTACCTCTAGCTGATCTGACTTGCCACCTCATGGTTAGAAAGCAACATGATTTGGTCTGTTGTCTGCTACTGAGAGCAAAGCTCAGCTTCCTGTGTGTCAGTTCTCCCAGTGGCACCGCAGTGCCAGCAGAAGGGACTTCAGAACATCACCCTATGGTTCTTGAGACCTTGGCATTCACTCAATCCCATGGAGATGCCACATATCCCTGGGGCTGCTCCATGCGCCCTTCTGGGATGAGACAAGCATTCCTCCTGAGTGAGGTGTTCAGCTTAGCCTCGGGCGACAGCATCTATCATCATTACCACCATCATCACCGCCACCACCCCTGGGGACTCTGCAGGAAGCAGAGGTCATGAAAGTTGTCCAAATTCTTCTCTCATAAGCAGTGTCCCTATGTGCAGTGGCCACAAAGTGGGGCTTTGCTGTTCTTGGCAGCTCCTGGGGCTTTCAGGAATCACAGAGGAACTGGGAAGGGGCCAGTGGGGCAGCACAGCTGCAACAGCCATGGGATAGGGCAGGGTGGAAGGTCTCCTTCAGGGGGGAAGGCCTCCTTCACCATCCGCATCCTTCTCCAGACCCCTTTCACATGGGGAAGCAGGGGACCACAGCAAGATGCAAAGCTGCCCGCCAGCACAGATGGTGTCTTAAAATAGCATCACTCATCTCGTGGACATGTTTGATTTTCTAGAGCAGGGAAAGCAGATGCTTTTGGGGAGTGGCTTTTGGAGCTGCTTTATCAATAAGGGTCTGAATCATGGAGAAACCTGCTGTAAAAAAATGAATGTCCCAGACCTCTCATTGGGTGCTGAAGGCTTCTGTTCTACAACACAAATCTTCACTTCTGCCTGAATTTCACTTCTTTCAAGGCAATGAAGAATGGCTATCTTGGGTCATGGCCATTGTCATCAAAATGTCAAATCTCCAGAGTGAAACTCCATTCCCTCCCCCAGACTACAAGCTTTCTGAAAAAATAGCACTCGTTTTCTTCCATGTGGGCTGCTGAGACTCTCTGATTCTTATTTCCCATTCCCAAGGGAATGAAGAAACAACTTCAGCAAACACAGCAAGAAAATGGCTTACCGGGACTACCAGGCTCTGCACATTCCTGCTTAATGGCAGACGAGATGTCACAGGATCAGTGACCACAAGGGGTGCCCACGGCACAAAACGGCCCAAAGAAAGCGTCCAGCATCACCCTCCCTAACAGTTCTCTGCTCTCCACTCCCGTTTTGGCCAGAAACAATCCGGAAAAGATGTTACAACTTCCATGCAATACAATGCAGCAAACCGCAAAACTTCATCCAGTATGGATATGGCAAACAGGAGCCGGTTTCACATTCTGCTCTCCACTCATCGAATCCCACCGCCCTCCCTCCTTCCCTCCCCCTTCATCCCCTCCAAGCACGCTGCAAGGCCGTGAGGGAAGCTGCACCGAGGCGGTACTGGCATGAAAATTTGAGATGCGGTGCTGCCGGGTTTGGACTACGGCATTGCTCAGGTCTGGGCACAGGTCTGCTGGAGTGGGGGCACAGCGCTGCTGGGCGCAGCCCCACTGGTACTATGTTTGGGGCGCAGCGCTACTCACCGGTGACACGGAGAGATCCCTCTTTGCCCGGGGCACCGGTACGCGCCACGGCACCGTCGTCTCGTACCGCTCGACGTGGGCCAGCTCCTCCCGCAGCCCCGCGCCGACTCCTGGGGAACCCGAAGGGCAGAGCTGCGGTGGGGGAGACGCGGCAGCCCCTTGCCTCCCCACTCCAGCCCTCACAGCATCCCGATCATAACAGCGGCATCCACTCGCGACGGCACCCTCTTCGGGGGAGGCTGCCGGGGGCCCCCGAGCACTCACCGCGGCCCAGCAGCAGCCCCAGCAGCAGCCGGAGGACGGCGAGCAGCGGGGCCATGGCTCTGCTCCCTCCGCTGCTCAGCTCCGCGCCGCATCCCCCGCCCGGCGTGTGACTCACCCACGGCCGCGGAACGGGGCGGAACGGGACGGGACGGGCCGCCTCCCGTGAGGAGTGCGGGGCGGAGCGGGGACAGAAGGGTCTCGGGGCGACTGAGGGAGCTGTGGGCCGCGGGGGCCATCTGGAAGGACTGAAGGGGGTCCTTGGTGCACCGAGGGGGGTCGTGGCGCCGCCAGGGGTTGTCCTCGAAGTACCAGGGGGTGTCCCGGGTCACTGTGAGGCTCTGCAGGGCATTTAGGAGGTGACCAGAAGGTGCCGGGGGGCCGGGAGAGACCCGCTTGATTCTGGGGCGATGGGGTGGGATGCACAGGGCTCAGCACTCAGGGACGTGCACGTCACCGTTGGCAGATGGCAGAGAATGCACACAGGTCCTGGCTCTCAGATTTCATCCACTGCTCCTGTTGGACCCTATGATGCGAAACCTTGGGCAGGGGCCCCTGAGGGTCCAGCTGCTGCTTCCTCCTTATCTGCAGAGATAACACTGAGCTTTCGATGCTTTTGTTGTGTTCTATGGCCAAAACCAGCTGGGAAAATGAGGGTATGTGAAGGCTCTAATCCGTGTAGGATCACTTTATTGGGACCACCTGTGTTGACCTGGGGCTGTGCAGCAAGACTAGTAGAGGACACAGCCCTGCTGCAGGCGCAGGAGTGCTGGGACTCAATGGAGAGTCATAGCTCAGCCCTGGGAGAGTGGAGTGGGGATCCCTGTGCTGTTCTGTCCAACCACACCCACACCTGAAATGAGCAAATGCCCATTTGGACAGCGCAGTTCTGGGCAGCTGAAGTTGTGTCAGCATGCCTCATGCTGGGGACACCGGAGGCAGGACACTGCACCTTTTCAGATTAGGATAGGTGTGTAAATGAGTAGGAACAAAAACTCCCGCGGGGCATTCAAGGAGCAATGGCCCTCAACAGGAACCCGGAGAGCTTCAAAGGGGCCACTGGAGCAGAGCAGCCATCGGGCTGAGCAGAGATCAGATGGCCCCCCACCAGCAGCCCCCACTGGGCTTCCGCTAGGCCAGAGCATGCTCTGGTCACCTAACAACGGCACGTGCCATGTGCCAACAGGACTCTGATTTTTATTTTTTTCTTTAACTTTTATTTTACAACACATAAAGACATCATTTTACAATCTAGTCAAAAAAAAAAAAAAAAGAAAAAAAAACAAGACTTCGCAAAAGCCTCTCAGAAGCGCAGATCCATCACACTTATTTCAGAGGTTCCACTGCTCCTCTATCTCTTTCATGGGGTTGGCACGGCAGCACGGGGGGGTGGTGGGGCTGCCCTTTGGCTCCGCTCCGCAGACATGTGCTCCAGGCGTTCCGTGTAGAACCCATTGAAGTCCAACCTGTAGGACAAAACACAGGAAGGAGTCAACCTGCTCGCCCTGCAGCCCCAAGCAGTTAACACGCTGCTGCAGCACAAGGCACCACCCATAGCATCAGCCTATCTCCTTTGTAAACCAGGTAGTGCCTCAGTGGCACAGAACCGCACAGAACCACCTGCCCCCACTCCGCTGCGGCCTTCCCCAGGCACATCTCCGCAGCGCAAAGTCATGCAACTGAGAATAGTTCTTCCAGTGCTTGAGAGGAACTTACAAGCAGGCAGGCAGTGACAGGACAAGGGGAAATTGATTTAAACTGAAAGAGGGGGAGATTTAGATTAGGAACAAATTCTTCACCCAGAGGGCAGTGAGGCCCTGGCACAGGCTACCCAGAGAAGCTGAGATTGCCCCATCCCCAGTGGCTTTAAGGCCAAGCTGGATGGGGCCCTGTGCAGTCTGATCCAATGCTTGGCTACCCTTCCCACAGCAGGAGGAGTGGAACTATCTGATTTTTGAGGTCCCTTCCAACTTGAACCATTCTGTGATCCTATGAGAAACGTGCACCCTAGCAGCACCAAACAGCAGGGGCCAGCAGTCTGCACATCACACAGAAATTACTCTCCTCGTTTATCAAATAAGTTGTTCCAATACTTATGGAATGGGCATAACATTTGAGTTTCATGTTGCTTAACAATCTTACAGAAATGGCAGCAAATTGTTCCTTGATGTTTTTCATGACTGGGGAAAACAACTTCGACAGATGGAATTTATCAGCTGCTTTCTCCTGCCTGAGCAGCTTACATCCCTTTTGTCCTTTAAATGTTATGCAAAGGACACATGACACTAAGGCAGGATTATTTACTGAATTTTGATTCCAACTTATGGGCTTACACAGGCAGGACTCATTTACATCCTTTCCAACTCTGTTTTTAGGATTAAATTATCTTCGGTAACTCCTAAGGATAGGTGCAGTCCTTCCCAAATCCCACTCAGTATTCTCATTCTGTGGCTGGAGCACACATTCACTCTTTTTTGCATCACTCTGTACGTCCCAGTGATCCTCCTCCATGCTCAGCCTTCCTGTTGCTTCCAAATTTGTGGAAGAAGGATAGCACTAGCAGCACTTAATGAGTGAAGATTTTAGGGCATTTGGATTCAAAGTCATCCACCTGACAGTTCCCTCTGCTCTGATGCTGCACCCTTTCCCAACTGGGCAGTGATTGTGGGCACTTTCTGCAGCCACCAACTCTCTGTCAGCACTGCTGAAGAAGCCAAGACACCCGAGCACCCTCAGCATGCTGAAGATCTGTGGTTACAGTTCATAAGAGAGGATCAGCATATCCCACAATCTATTCTCTCTCTATCTCAAGTATGTTATTTTAGATGCAATCGTTTTCATTCTGGTCCCCGGGTTCCTGTTGCTACAGCGTCCACAACTGGATCTGATAATTTGTGCAGACTGAATGAGAGCTGGCCATTCGCCGTGGTGCTTCCGCTTCTTAAAATGCTATTGAGCAGCCCCTGGAAATGGAAGGACACATTCTGCTGTGTGTCCTGCTAACATACAGTATTTTAGATGAGGAAATGGGGACACCTGCTTTTGTAACTCAAAGTGCATCTGTGCCAAAACCCTCAGTGAAGATTTGCATGGTCCTATGCAGTCCTGACTGGGAGACATGACAGTGATGGCAGCATTAAGACACAGTACTTCCTTTTTAGCCCTTCTACAGAAGTGGGATGTGGAAGTGCCTGGGGGCAGAGGCCTCAGACCCCGCTCTGAAAGCAGCCTGATACAGTTTTAGGTCACCGTCCTTAGTGCAACCAGACAAAGGAAGCATTCTGTTTTCTTACATCCTGCTGGATCACCATCCTTCTCTATTCATCAGAAGCAGGAAGAACTTGTGAAGAACAAGTCTGAAGCACTTGGGAGCACTGCCTGCACAGCTTCTGCATGGATCAACTCCCAGCCACAGCACCAGGGACATGGCATCAAATGGGATGCAACACCAGTCTCCATGGTGCAGCACCACAAGAGAGAGCTTCCACCATCCTATGGAACCATAAACAGTTCACAGAAGGGTGGAGAGTCAATGACAAAAGAGGTGAACCTCTGCTAAGTTAGGAATAGTGGGAGGACACCTGACACCTGAGCTATTGGCAGAAAAGGCATTGGTGTAATCTCTGGCACAGCGTGTGATAAAGTGTGATGGAAGGCTGCAGGACTTCTGTGTCTTGACAGAAAGGATTGTCAGGGACTTGATACTGTTCTGCATTTCTAAGAAAGGTGAAAACCAGCTCCAGCCTGAGCTGAGCTGGGTGATGCCACCAACAGAAGGATCTCCACATGTTCCTGCTGAGACTTGAAGACTGTGGGTCACAATGCTCTTCTATGAAAAGAGCAGGCAACCTGGCCATCAGCACTATGTTGGCCATGCCCAGCACTCCCTGCAATGACATCCAAAAGCCCGATCTCCTGCTGAAACACTTCATAAAGCAGTGTGAACTAACACATGGATTAGAACAAAAAAAAATTCACAAAATTCAAAAGACTATTTTTCAAAGTATGGCCTGAAACACAAAGTGACATTTCTTGCAATTTCAGTCTTTCCTCTGATGAGGCAGACACACACAGCTATAAAACAGCAATCACTGCTTCTGGGCTGAATCTGAGCTACTGAGAGAAAACCCCTGGCTCACCTGTAGATGATGTTAAGCATGCTGTGCTCACAGTCATTGGTGCTGTAAACACTTAGCCGGTCCAACAGATCCAGCAGATGCGTTGAGAAATTAGTATCAAACTTGTTGATGGTTGCTTCAAAGCCAGATGTCAGATGGAGGTTATCAGCATGCTCTGCTAAAAGCTATCAAGACAAAGGACTTGTGTTTGTCAAGGAGATGCAACAGTACCATCCCTTTTTCAAAACCTGGTCATAAATACTGCCATAAAACTTAATGGTAACTCAGGCACTGCAATAACATTTTCAAAACAGCTGCAAGATCCTCAGTGGTTAAAAACCTTGCCTTGCCCGTCTGGGAGGACACCAAAGTAGACCTCAGTAGAATAATCCTCAAATATATGCTGTTGGTTATTTTCTACTAACAGCAGAGCATAACAAGTGGCTTAGTAAGTGTGCGTCTAAACAGGGAAAAATATAGAAACACAGACAAGGCAAATATCTCATATACAGAAGGGAAGGGCTGTTGGACTCCAAGCTTACTGGCTCATCCACCTTCATGCACACAGCTGGAAATACAGCTAAGAACTGAAGAACAATTGCAGCAACTGCTGTGGGAGACAAGGTCCTCAAAGCAGACTTGAGAGTGCTATCAGTGCTCCACAGCGTCCTCAGAAATATCCCCACATTCTACAAAGATTCTGCTTTTGGGGCCAGAGGTGTGCTGGAAACCAGAAAGGTCCACCTGTAGGAGGCAGGACAGCCACTCCAATCAAGCTGCAGCTCCAGGCAACATTTACAGAGCCCATCAATGCACCCAGTGCCCCACCTTGTTAGTCAGCTTCTTCTTTGCAGTCTCTTCAGCACGCTCTTCCTCTGTAGGTGGGCCCAGCATTGTGCCATGTTCTAGGCTGAGCCGGTCCATCTCGCTATCCAACTTCATGCTCTGGGTGAACCTCTGTAAAGGGCAGAGGGTTGGGGAAATGGTTAAAACCCATCTCCTTCACAACAGCAATGCATGAGGTTGATGCACCCCTCCTAGGCCTGCAGCTAGTTAATCCCCACTAAAGCTAACTGTCTGGTTTTCTTTTGTTTTTAAATGGGTTCCCGATACACTGACTAGATTTGCCTAAGGAGATCAGCCTTCATGGCTGGTCCTCAGCTGGCTTCTGCACGAACAAAAACCTAGCCAGCTCTCCAGTTTTCATCTCAAATTCTGCTGCAAGAATGGATGAAGAGAGGCACACAGGAAACTGTTCCAACACTGGAAAAGAAGAGCGCATAGAATTTTGTGGAGGGAACAGCCACAGAAATCATGTGGAGGAAAGTTTGAGCTCATAAAGCCTGTTGTGGGTGGGAAAAGAAGCTCTTCTGACTATACTGAGAGCAAGAGAGCAATCATGTTAAGAGATCATCATGGCTGCCTTGCGCACAGAGCAGCTGGCATGATAAAATGGGGGAGACTGTACATACCTGCATGCAGTTTGTGAACATGACACACACAGACATCAGTTTGGAGAAGATCTTCAGCAGCTCAGGGTTGGTGAGCATGCAGTCCTTCAGGCAGTTGTCCAAAAAGCTTGTGTGGTGGCTCAGAACATCATCAATATTAGAAGCCTGTTGGAGGACAGTACATTAATGAAAAACCAAACCAGGACACCAAAGCTTTAGACCAGCACTGCCAATGTATCTGCTCAACTCCTGTCAGGATCAAAGCCTAAATTTGATCCTGTACCGCACTGTACAGAACTCAGTGGAGCCATTTGCTATGTAACACAGAGCAGCCTATGTCTCTGCTCTTGTTTTAGTTAACAGTGCCAAAGCAACCTAGGATGCCAACTTTTTTTGCTTTTTAATGCTTTCCTCTCACATACTCACGTCCAAAGAGGCTGTATGCCTGAAACCAGCCACAGCCAGGCAATTCCAGCCAATGCTCTGGCATGTGTTCCAGGCAAACAACAAAGCTGCAGGCTAGGCCAGGCTGATGGCAAGACAGACAACATGTATTTGCAGCTTTGCTGTAGCTTTCACTTGATCTACCAGTAATCAAGCATCATCCTTTACTTGCCTGATGAATTTCACCTGCCTAACAGTAACTCAAAAGTCCGGACCACTACTGCAGTCAGGTAAAAAGGGAAAGGAGAGATGTGTTTACCAAATCCTTTGTCTTCCAGTAACAGATTTTTTTCTCTGTTGTCTGGAACCTTCTAATCTGAATTGATTACATCACATTTCAGAAGGCATCTGAGGGCTTCTTTAACAGCCTGTTCTGGAATGTCAGCTTCTGTTCTTCTGAGGTCTTCTCATTCTTGGCTTTAAACAGGGAGGTAGGATGCTCACTGGGAATATGCTTCTCTCTGAGGTGATAAAGGCATCTCACATGCCCCTCAGGAGATAAAAACTCCTACCTGGAGTTTGTGCTAGGGCAAAGAGTTATAAAGTCACAGACTTTATTTTGATCAATGAACCAGGAACACTGCGTTACACACTTAGAAAATCTCTCAGCCCAGAACACTGCATGTCTGTGAAAGGAGAGGTCAGGCGTATTTTGCCCAGATGCCACCTTGTCAGGCATAAAAACCAGCAGGAAATGAGCTTAGCCTCTCCCAGACATCACAGGGATGAAAAAGTTCTCCAGCCTAGTGGAAATGGACCAGAAGAATAACTATCTGAAGAGGAAAACCACTTTTTACAACAAATAGTCCTTACTATGAAAAATAAAGTGAAAGGCCTCTTCCTGCCTCAAAGGCCTAATCTTTGGCAGTTCCAAGGAAGAGAAAGCACAGACGCGGCTTTTAAGAGAGCTGCTAGTCAGCCAAGGAATCAGAGGAAGATGTCTGGTCCTGCTTGTGATCTTTGCACCTACATCCTTCTTCCTTATCCACACTTTTTTATTCTTGGTAATGTTCAGCAGAATGCTGCCCTTCCGTAACAGGATGAAGAGAGCATGGAAGTTGGGCACAGACAGGAGGGTTCGGTAGAGGAAAGGGATACATCACTAACAAAGCAGAAAGGTGATGCAGAACAGCAGCACTGTTTGTAGTGTGATAAGAACAGTTCCTCCAATAAAACATTTAACAGTAACTAAAACAAGGCATCTTCTGCTTACATTAAATTTGATAACATAAGATGGCTGTTCTAACTAGTCTCAAGCACACACACTCACCAATTTCAAATTCTTCTCGAGAATGTGCCATGTTGGCTCCATCACTTCAAACATCATGTAATACTGGATATTCTGCACAAAATTCAGCATTCGCTGCCGCAATGTGAAAGCACCAGCAAACCTAGGGGAGAAATCACGCCCATAACAACTCTGAGCTAGCAAATGCCACAGAAAACCAACTTGCACAGCCAAGCAAAGCAGAGCTAACTATTTCTGTCCAGGCAAATTCCCTGCTGCAGTCTGAGAGTGATTACCAAGTTATTGCAGAACATCTCTAATTAACTTCCATGTATGGAAACGACTTTCCCCTCAACTGTGAGATTCAGAGCTTTGAACCTGCTGTGCACTAAACAGTTAATTTGTAATCTGATCACGTCCAACCATAAATGGACAGTATTAAATCCATTTTATCACTTTAACTAGTGAGACGTGTTTGCTAGCAGTGTGAAATATAACATGCAGAATGCTTCATGTTTCTTTCTAGCACATTCTAGCACATCTAACTCACTTGTTAAATGAATACTTGAGAACATCCTATCCATCAGTATGATCAGGAATCCCTGGATTTAAACAAATAACCTCCTATCTAGGGTATTCAATGCCATTTCACTTCAAAATTAGAATGGCAGAATTATACAGAGCTCCTTTCAAGGTCTCAGGTTGTGACATAAAAATAAGAACAGCCTTCAACAAACTGGGAGAAACTGAGCAATGGGGACTCTCTCCCCTCACATTTCAGCTATGGGTACCCTGTCCACTGGTGACAGTCATGCTGTGAGCAGGGGCTTGCACTGCAGATCCCCCCAAGTCTCCTCCACACATCCTTCTGAAGTGTCAAGAGAGCAAGAGCTCACATTGGCTGAGGTCAGTGCCGAGGTAGCTGAGGGTGTGAGAAAACTGAGTGCCACTGACAAGACAGAAGGTGTTTCCTTGCAGTGCCACAGGCCTGCCTTGTGCTCCAGTGAGATCATCTGAGACTGAGGGTGGCAGGCATGGAACAGGCTCTTCAGGGCAGAGGTCACAGCCCCGAGCTGCCAGTGCTCAAGGAGCATTCTCAGACATAGGAACTGGATTTTGAGTAGTCCTGTGTGAAGCCAGGAATTGGACTGAAAGATCCTTGTGAGTCCCTTCCAACTCAGGACACTGTGTTCCTACGATTCCTTTTCCAAACTTTGTGCCACCAAAGAGGAACAAGTCAAGCAGCCCGAGGATTATTGAGCAGACACTTCCTACTGCGTCCTAAAATGTTATGTTTGACCTCCCTCTGCCAGTCAGAACTTTACAACGATCTGTTCCATGTCAAAATAATCCAAATCATGTCACAATGCATCTAACTAGGAAGAAGGAAACCCAAAGCCTCAGCAGAAAAGGAAGCCATACCATTTAGCTGAATGTAGGGAGAACTGCTTGGCTGTCTTATTGCTGATCCAAACGTTGCACAACTGCCTTTCCACATGTTTGCAATAGAACATGTGTCTGAAAAGCATCTGGTATCTTGTCAGTGCTTTCCTGGAAAGAAAGGAGAAAACTATTCAGATTAAGCTTTCTTCAGATTGACAGAAAGCTGTGAAGGCTGAGGCTACTTTGAGGCAAAGAGACTTAACACAATATGCTCCTTACACCTTTAGGCACACAGATCTTCAGTGAAACAATTCTAACAGATGAAAAAAAAGCATTTGTAATCATCTCAAAGAATTCCTCCTGAAGTGTCCCTCCTTCACACTTCCTGCCACCAGGTACTTCATGAGCCTTCTTCTCTGATGAGATCAACCTGCAGAAAGATCACTCACATACAAGCTGGGTCTGAAAGCTTCCAGTTACGTCACTGCTGCAGCAAGGCTGCAACGACTGCCAAAATTTTCACCAGGATTCTCCAAAAAGATTAAGAAAAACTGCAACCAAGCTACAGGCAGCATCACCCTGCCTGCAACACGCTGTCAGAAACAGATGGGATGCTTATTTATAGCCTCGGGGACTGGGTGCAGGTCTGTGCTCAGACACTTCAGCGTAGGAGTCCACAGAGCTCCAGCCAATACAGTTCATGAAGCTGTACCACTTAGCATTTTCACTTCCATAGTTACAATCAAAGTTAATATATCCAATTTGAAGGAAAGAGACATAATTTCAGAGACACTGTGTCATTAAGGAAGTTCCACTGTGTCAACTGATAATTTCACAGAAGTGAGAGGATACTGCTGGCATTTAGCACCTTCCACTGTTTGCCTCATTTCCCTGGCTCACAGCCTGTCATTGCCCTGTTTCTGTGGAGAAACAAATCACCACAGAAAAACAAAGAACTCTGTTTATTCTACCTCAATTTAATGCAAAATGGCCTGCTGCAGTATTCTAGCAGCAGCCAGTAGTATCCTTCAAGTTTGCAAACAGGGCTACCAGAAAGCTTTTTTGCACTTCACATCGAGAAATGTTTGATTGCAAACATAGAAATTCTTAAATGAGAGTTCACTTTCAAATAAAAAATCTTCTCAGAAAGATCCTTCAAAAAGCCATGGACAAACAGAAGCTGGGGGACTGGTTACAAGAAAAAACAGAGACCAGGCTCATAAAGTATCCTTTGATCTACATCTTTCCATCATTTAAAATCAACTTTCCATGCATATCTTAGGCATGGACTGGTAGCACTGTACTGAAGAGAGAAGCCCTAGACTACCAGACGAGCAAGTGCGAGTCAATAACCCCAAAGCATTCTCTACTTATCAACAACTTTTAGTGTCACTTTAAAGACAAACTTTGCAGCATTTTGCTGTTTGGAAATGTGTTGTAAACCTGTACAAAAGCTTCTGCCTTTTTTTTTTTTTTTTTTTTTTTTAGTGTATAGATACCTTACCTGTTTATAATTAGGGATAGAGGCCACTTAACAATGTAGTCAAAGGAAAATGCTTCCAGACCACTGAGAGTAAGCTCTGTGGGATCTGCACCAATAATGGCCTTTTCCTGCTTTGTTTCTATGGCCAATACTCTCAAGAGCTGCGTAATGAGATCATGGGGCATCAAGTCAATCTATAAAGAAAAGCAGGGAAACAATGAAGCCACGGGGTACTCACAACTTCCAGGTAACAACAGTTAAGTGGCAAATTATCAGAGTGACTCTCAAGTCACTGGATCAGCCAGGGAGTGATGAGGAATGGCACCATCTGGACAGTGCTGCAGCAGACAGTGTTGCTGTGCTGCTTACCAAGTCATCTCAATCTCCCCAAGCACAGTTTGTATGCTGGTTCACATTTGTAAAGGCTTTCAACTGAGCTGCAACAATCATTAGTAGTGAGAACTTATAATCAATGATTTTCTTGCACTCCAAAATGGACATCCAAGCTTGAGAATGCGGCTGAGAGATATATTACTCCTTTCACCTCACCCTGATGCCACTCAAAAGCACTTTCTCTGTGCTCAGACATCAACAAGAAAATGCAGCACCTTGCTGCATGATCAGAGCTTCCTATTGCTAATGTCAATGAAATAAACATACTTCACCCGAGAAGGCCTACAGAAATATAGCCACCAATTCTTCTTTCTTCCACTGCATTTTCCACAGTTTCTCATAGAGAAACATGGAGATTTCCTCAATACATGGCAAGCCTTCCGCTTACACTTTTTTACCTTTAAATCATCCTTGAAAGGATCTGTGTTGGCTGTGCTCATTCGCAAGGCCAACTCAAGCAATGCTTCTAGCCTAGTAGTTATGATGTCATCCACAGGCTTCTTAAGTTCCTCTTCTGTGAGATCCATGAAGTGAACAAAAAAGTCCCCTTGATCCATCAGGAAATAATGTTTTATAGATCTGCTCAAGAAAATGAAGATCACTGATTATGTTTCCAAAAAAACATGTTTTTTAACTTGCTTTTTAACAGACAAAAACAACCTATTTGGATATTTTTTTTTTAACATGTGCTGTCCTACTTCCGGTCACCTCAATCAGAACACTGTTGTGCAGCTGTTCTGCTGCTGTAAAAATGTACCCTGAGAATAAAAGTATGCACTGCACTGCTAGGCAATGGATTACACTGCTATCCTGGACAACAACCCAACCTCCAGAGTCCAGATCCATCTGAGAGGCAGCTGCCATCTCAGAGCAAAATCATGGACTCTCTTGTCCAAGTGTCTGCACTGACTTCTGAAGCAGTTCGTGTGCTTGTGTTGACTTCTGCTATAGTATGATGCACCAACTACAATTTTCACCAGGCCTCAGGGAGAGTCAACTGCAATAGGATTGGAAATAGCTCTCAGGAAAGCTGGAAGATGAAGTTTGCATCTTGCCAGAGAATATACATAATCACTGCCACTTTTTGGAGCAAAAATTGTACTAGCATAGCCTTAAACCACTGTAGTTGCAGGTAATTTCAAGACTGAGTCAGATAAAGTCAGATTAAGCCTAGTGGCCAGTTTTGGCAAGACGTAGTTTTGGTGGTAGCCTTCCAGTCGCAAGTTGGACAAGAGACTCCTAAAGGTCCCTCCCATCCAACATTTCTACGATTTTACATTTCTTTTTTATTTTATTTCAAGAGAAAACAAATCTATCTTTTCCTTTTCTTTCTCTTTCTCTTTTTCTTTTTTTTTCAGGTCAACATTTCTAACAGAAACAGAGAGAATATCCCAGGAAAAAAATGCTAACTTTAAAACTTGACATTTGCAATCAGAACCAACCTATTTAAGACGTACTTAAGAAAATAAATCAAACCTTAGGTGAGCCACAAGCTCTTTCTCCTCCATTAGGAAATCCAGGAGAACTTTGCTAGCATAGTTATATGCTTTTTCTATTTGTTCCACATACGCTCGCTCTTTTAAAGTATAGATGACCTCTTTAGCCACAGGGCAGGTAACATCCCGTCCACATTCTCGCACAACATTCAAATATTTCCCTGAAAAGAAAACAGTGATCCACGTTTGCACCAACTGTATGTGTTGCCATGAGAGAAGCCTCCATATCACTGTTACAGAATGGAATAGAAGGTATATTGTGAAATTTTATATTGAGATCAACCTGAAACTGGAAAAGATTTAGATGCCTTTCAAAAGAAGATATGGAATTTAAACTAGGCTACTAATATTATGTTTAAGAAATGATTTAGAAATGTTTTCTGCCCCCAGTGGTGGTAAAACACCTTTACAGATAGCCAAGAAAATCTGTTGTTGCACTTCATAAATAGCTTTTGAGAAGTTTGTACTTGCAGCAGGAAGCAAGCATAACCATCAGGCAGCACACAGCCTTTAAGTGCCCAAATAAAGACACCACAGACATCTAGCTCCACCTATCTAGCTGCTATAAAATTGTACCCTTATACCAGAGCAGAAAGACAGAAGCTCCTTTAACTGCTGACTCCTTCCCACATTTTCATGATTTGGAGTTGCTTTTAATCTTTCTGTTTCTTTGAGAAGTTGTAGCTGGACAATCCTTTAATTTATCTTTACAAAAACAATGGCAACAATCATCTCAGACTCCTCTTAAAAAATAAATCTATCTTTACCTACCCGTGCTTAGTATTTTGTCAGCCATTTTCTGCAAGAAGGAGGGAATCTGCTGCTGAACAACAGTGTATCTTTGATCCCAATACTTGTCGTTATAGTCCTCCTGAATCTTCTCTTTCTGCAATTCATGTTCCTCCACCATGAATTCACTGGACAGTTAAAGCAGATGTTTAGAAGCAGGAAGTGGTACAATGGGGATTACTCTTTTGACCTGTTAGTATGGTCAGTGGGAATATGATATATCAGAAGTAAGGTCTCATGAAGATACATTTCAATCAAGAACTGAAATTAGTTTGTACTAAGACAAGTAGCATTTTGTGCTGTGTTTGTGCTAATCCACAATCAATTACAACAGAAACATAATTCTATAGGGCTCAGGAATTAAGTCTAAATGTTATTTGGCTGTCAGAGCACAGGTGAGGAAGCTGGCCTTCGCTTTCTCACCATCAGAAAGGCATTATTTTAAGCTATTTTAACTTTATTTTCTTCCCTCTTCGCATTCTGAAAATGCAGACAACAAGAATGTTGCATAAACACAGAAAATGCTTTAAATAATTCAACCAATGCCAAGAAATTTTTCAAAGAGTATTGTTAGCTTGAATCATCATCATGATAGTGCACTACATTAACATAGATTCAGTGAGCTGTGAGAATAGCATCCTATAAGAACAGAGCTCACGACTGTCCTGGAGAGGATGTAGATGTGAGAAGAGGGACACGAGAGGAAGGGTATTTCTTAACTTTTTCATTTTGTTTTTATTCTGTAACTGTTCTTTACCTGTATGGGTCATTAATGATGCCTCGATATATCCACTTTTCCAGAATTTCAAAATAGGGCACACTGGCTGCCTTGGTTAGATACAGACACAGCTCCTGGGCCTGGCTGTCTCCTGTGTAGTTGAAAGTCTTATCGTGGAGTAAGCTCAGGGTTGACCCTCCCATACACTCACCCTTATCCACAGAAGTAGCTGAAATAAAAAATATAGATGTAAGACACACAAGATTCTTCATTTATATGCACAGATCAAAGAGATAAGAAGACAGCAAAGTGCAAGTTTTTGCACTTGGGCTAGAGGAATCCCAGGTATATTTACAGACTGGAAGGAGCAGTCCTTGAGAGCAGCCCTGCAGAGAAGAACCTGGGGGTCCTCATGGATGAAAAATTTAACATGAGCCAGCAGTGTGCTCTTGCAGCTCGGAAAGCAAATGGTATCCTGGATTCCATCAGAAGAGGGGTGGGTAGCAGGGACAGGGAGGTGATTATCACTCTCTACTCTGCCCTCATGAGTCCCCATCTGAAGTTGGGTGTGAGGCCCCAGTACAGGAAATATGTGGAGCTGTCGGAGAGGGTCCAGAGGAGAGCTACAAAAATGATCAGGGGGCTGCAGCACTTCCCCTATGAATATAGGCTGAGGGAGCTGGGCTTGTTCAGCCTGGAAAAAAGAAGGCTGCAGGGTGACCTCACTGCAGTCTTTCAGTACCTAAAGGGAGCCTACAAACAGGAGGGGAATCAACTCTTTGAAAGGGTAGATAACAGCAGGACAAGGGGAAATGGTTTTAAGTCGAAGGAGGGGAAGATTTAGGCTGGATGTCAGGAGGAAATTCTTTACAGAGAGAGTGGTGAGGTGCTGGAACAGCTGCCCAGAGAGGTTGTGGATGCCCCGTCCATCCCTGGTTCAAGGCCAGGTTGGATAGGGCCATAGGCAGCTTGGTCTGGTATTAAATGGGGAGGTTGGTGGCCCTGCGTGTGGAACAGGAGTTGGAGATTCGTGATCCTTGAGGTCCCTTCCAACCCGGGACATTCTGTGAGATCTGGACTCAGGTAGACATAAGGTATCTCATAGCTTCTACATCATACATGGAGATTTTTCTCTCAAGATGCTAATGAAAAAATCCCATATCTCAATGACTTGCTTAAGAAATCTCTGATCTCAAAATCACATCTATTCTCCACTGTAACCCTGAACTAATCATGTACACTGCTTGAAACACCTGGACTTAGGTAGATTCATAATAAAATTCACCCTTTGCATTGCAAAAAGGATATAAGGGACAGAGGAAGAGGAATACAGTAGTGTCATGAGCTTGAGACTGAAGTAAATCTTCAAACAGATGGCTAACTGTAGTGTTCCAAAAATGTGAATATTTCAGGAAAAATGAATACCAAGATGGATCATCCATTTCCAGATTCTATATAGAACAGATATTTGTGTCCAGATAAATTTTCTGGGCTGAGTAGAGAGAAATGCAAGAGTAACCTCATGTCAAAGAGTTTAATTTAAGCAAAACTACTGAGGAAACAATAGAAGGGAGCGAGAAAATGAAGCTGTTAAAATGGTATTAATGAAAAGACTGCAAACCACTCCACTTCTGTATGAGCAGTTATGTGACAGGAGGCACTCGTGGGGGATGAGCATGCCATGTATGTTCTCAAATGGGTTATACTGTGCCTCTTCACACAGCACTTTTATTCTGAGATATAGTAACAACAGGCATGATTCAGAGAACCTACTGCTCTCAAAAATGGCAGAGGTCTGACAAGTACAGTCCTCCTCTTAGTCCCTCTTATTTAATATAACAAAATTGAAATGACACATACCCTGTCTGTATTGTTTATTTGTCTAGTTTTCATACACCTGTCTAAACATAATGACTGTATTTTTTAAATTTACCAAGTGAAGAAAGAATCTCTAGGGTCCTCATTGTGGGCTGGATATAAAACCAGAGTTTCTGCAGCGAGAGAAGTCCCTGTCTCTGAAGATGTTCCAGCTGGGTAATTAGTATCATGTATTCCTTGATCAGAGTCCGCATAGCAGCAGCCAGCGCATGATTTACCTGTCCATACTCAAAGGAACACTTCTCCTCTATAAACCTGTAAAATGCAAAATAGAATCTCGTCTAGACAAGGGAATTTCCAACATTTTCAGGAATCAACTTCAGAACACACTAGAAGCACAAGAGATGATACTGCATTGGAAAACATATTGGTTTTCAGCTAAGTTTTAGGTTTAGCATTTGCTCTCTGGCCCCTGTCTACTTCTCACCACCACACTTCTTAGTTTAGAAAGCTGTAGGAAAACATTTCCTTCTAAATTGAAGGGGATCTAGAATTACTTGCAAATCCACTATAAAAAAAAGTGAGTGCCAGTATTTTCAAGGCAATTGGCTTTGCACACAACCTTATGATTAGGACAAGAGGACAGGAGAAGGTCTCAAAAGGACACAATACCATGGAACCAAACACTGAGGAAAGCTTGCTACTAGCTTCAGGCTAGTGATTCACCTGATCAGTCTTAGCTGGCTCCGTGTATCTTATTTAGTGTACAGAGGCTTCTGAATGCAAGCCATATCACCTGGAATCAGTCAGGCAAAAAAGACTGGACAAATCACTTCCTGAAAGTGCTTCTCCCTCTTTGCTGATCTTCTGCTGATCAAATCAAATGCAGCATCCATATTACAAACTTCTGCTGTCAGTGAGGTGTACCTTACACTAAGACCTTTCAACAATTACTTAGATAGCCACCAGAAACTAGGAAGCTGTGGGCTCTCCTGGTCAGCAGCACACACAAGGATTGTCTTAGTCCTGGATGCCCAGAAGAGAGCAAAAAGCAGAAAGGAGGGAAAAAATCATAGCAAAGTGGAAAAGACAAGCCACAGTAATTAGACACATTTAAACTTTGCCTGTGGCAAGTCAGATGTTGGACAAAGCAAAGGCAAGGTGAAGGAAAATGCGAAGTGGCGCCACGTAGGAGAATGCCAGCTAAAACATATATAGCCAAAGCCATTTTAAATAAATTCTCTCTCTTTATTTTATACCCCTACAGGTTTAAATTTAGCTTGAAAGTCATCATATGCAAAATGACAGATTCCACATTCTGCAGCTTGATGCTTGAAGGAAAATATCCTCCTCTGGGAGGAAACAACAGCTCTGTACCTGGTGACAGCAGAGTAACTTGCTGCTACAGGAAGAATCCTGGTCACCAGCTCTTTGATGGACAAATCCAAATTTGGATCGACTAAAAATGCTCGGTTCTGCCTGCCAACAATAGGCTGTGCTGTGATGTATCTTCCATCCACACCAATCAAAACATACAGCAGGTCCTCCACAATCATGGATTCTTGGGATGCTAATGGCAGAGTACCTGTTTTCAAAGAGACAGCAGAAAAGAACATAATCAGAACATGCTGCAGTACGTCCAGATCTTCCATTCATGCTCTAGCACCTGAAGCGTAGAAGGATGACATACTACCATTCAGAGAGAACAAAGGAAGATCATACAAACCTGAACCAAGATACAGAGAAATAAAACTGAGTTACAGTCAACTCCACAATCTTAAACCTTGCTGTCCAGGAAAATAGAAGCCTTTGCTCATTATTTAAACCCAAAGCAAATCAAGTGGACAGAAATAAGCATCCATCAACCATGGACAAGAGAACTTGCACTGTTCACTCTTCCATCCAAATGGGCTCAATTACACTGGACCTGAGTTCCAGCCTTGCCAACAATTCTCCTACCTCCCCTCCACTGAAGTACTCAAATACAAAGAATAAAACTCAAATACACAAAACAAAACGCTAGCACAGCCAAAGCTACAAGTGAACTGCAAGCTATAGGGTCTGATTGGTGAAGTGAACTGGAAATCAGATACAAAGAAGTGCAAAGGACTCAAACTGAAATATAATGAAGTACATCAAAAGACTGGGGACCAGGATGGCTACAGTGTTCACCACAACTAGCCTTATCTCACAAAACCAGCTAACAATCCCTCTCCACTGTAGGACTGTATGTGCTGGTGCAGCATTAAACAGTTTTGAGAGGTGTCTGATCTTACCAGTGATTTCTGGGCACTACAGAATTTGTTAATCCCTAAGGAGGAAAAAAAAAAAACCAAAACATTTGATGTCACTGAGAATCTCTGTCGTGTGGTTCAAAAGTCTGGAAAAAAAAAAAACCATGGACTGTATATGTAAGCATAAGACATGCTGAAAATTCCCATACAGCTACACAAACCATTTGACAACAGGGAAACACACAAGAATGAAACTACTTGTGATCTCTACTTTTCTGTGCCCCTAAGACAAGGCACAAATCCATGCCAGGAAGAAGCTACTGGATTCCTGCAGGTGTGTCTACCTTCTTGCGAAATAGAGCATGAACCTCTAGCACAACTGTTGCCTTTCTTTAATCTAATTTACAAATTACAAACTATACACAGCTCTGTCTAAAGCTATAATACAAAAGAGTGAGATCAGTTCTCTATTGCTCTGACTACGAGCAAATCAGGGAGGTTGTCACAGCCTTACTGGAGAGGAGAATGAGCTGCATGGATTGATGAATGCTCCCTGAAAGGTGCAACTGCAGATTTTTCAGCTGAGAACGCAGATGGGATGCTCCTGCAGTATATTGTGTGGAAGAAGGACTGGGAAACTCAAAGCAGATTAAATCTTATGGATTAATGGTGGAGTTGGAAGCTCGCACAGGAGAAACACTTTGAAGAAAACACATCTGGTTGGGTATTGTTGGTTTTTTTTTGAACCCTGTTCATTCCACAGATTTCAAGGAGGCAAGTTTTGCTTTCATCCTAATTATGACAGAATCTGAACGGCTCTTCTGAACAAGTACAAAACATAATTTTCACTACGTATCACATACCTATAGGTACCGTTACGTCAGTGCTTAGAGCAGTGCCAATTAAGAAATCCCCAATAAGCGCAGGCCTCTCGTACACCCAGGATGGAAACACTGGAACAGGCTGACCTGAATTCTTCTTATTTTGCTTATCTCGGAGCATTTTTCGTGTAAGCTCAAGAGGCTGATGAGAAGGAAAAAAAAAAAGAAAAAAAAAAAAAAAGAGAGAAAAGAATGAAGAAAGAGAGATGTTTGGAAGTACAAAAATTTTTCAATTTTAAGCAGAAATTGACTATAAGCCAATAATTTTGAAAACAGAAAGTGGAATAATTGATATTTCAGTAGAACAGTGTAGGTTTTAATCATCATTTTTTTAACATCAAATTAGTTCCAGAAGGAGAAAGTAGCCACATCTCATCCAAGGAGAACTTGCGAACAGGCCAATGACCACCTCTGAAATCAGTTTCTGCACACTGCCCAAGAAGTAGGTGCACATGAAATGCCATCCAGACAATACATTGGTGGAAAATGACAGCGATCTTGCTCTGATTGCAAAGGAAGTGAGCTTTTACAAGACCATAAGAGTTTCCATTCCTGGCACAGGATCTCTGTCAGTAAAATAAAGATGGTGAAAGACTAATATTCAGCTTGAGAGCTCTATGTGATGTACAAAAACTGCCACAAGTGCAAAAACATGGGGGACGTGCTTATGAAAGCCATTTCTTAAGCTCCACACGTATGTGAAATGGGATCTGCACACAGTCATTTTATTTTCTTCTCATTGAAGGTCTCAGAGGTGAGAGGAATGTGGGAAGGAAACAAGTGCACATAAGCTTTGCACCTTGCTGGCTTGTGCTGCCACTTCCTTTGGCTGCAAGCAGAACTGTGCCTCAAAGGAAAAGTATGCATGGCAATCAACTTGTATTTGAACATCCCAGAAAACACCACTTCCTCTTCTCTCCTCTTTGAGCAAATCATACATAAATCCTTTTTAAAAGATCTCTTCTCCTACTGGAAATTAATCTCCCTTTCAGGATCTAAATCAACTGCTTGACTCAGATCTTCCATGAAGGATTTGGATGAGACAGGCAAAAAGCCTGATATGCACAATATAGGAGGATCAGTGTAGCTCCATCACTGACTAACAATACCTTTGCAGCACTTATTTCAAGAACACTAATTCCAATAGCTAAGTAGACAAAATGGTTGTCTGCTTGGGGAACAATTTTACAAGGCACTGCACTCACACATCCTGGAGAACAGAGTTTTCAGCAAGGACAGAATGACCCATAAAGGTTGCTGAGCAAGCACTGCTGCAGGCAGGAAACGAAACATCTGCGTGGGTTAAGGAGGTGCTTTGAAACAGGAAAATGAAATCACATCACTACGCCCCAGTGAGAACTGCTGTGCCTAAACTCAACTCACCTTACCTGACTTCAATAGAAAAGGCCGCTTTTATGAAGAACAGCACAATTATTTAATATAATTTGACAAACGCCATTTTGAGAGCAAATTCAGATTATCTGCATGGATAGGAATACTTGCAATTTCCCTACACAGCAAAAGTTAAGAGCACAGCTACATACGAACGGCAGGGAAAAATCTTACATGTAAGGTGAGGGAAGCAGCAGTACCTGCTGTGCGCTGGAGTTGGCTGTGACAGAGCCAAGCTGCTTGCGCAACTCCTCAAGTTCCTGCAGAGAGATCTTGGACGTAGATGAGGGAATGGAGAAATTTGTGCTGCCACCAGCTGCCACGTTTGCTGTGAGTTCCGCTCTTTCTTTGGCATTTTGTTGCAAATACTGGAGTGTCTGTATATACATAAAACAAAAGAGATTTTGTGAACGCTGGTCAGCACACACTGCAGCAAACACGTCTGCCCATAAGAGAGGTGAGCTGCTCAGACTACAGGTATTTCTGTTCCAGTCTCATGCCTTACAGTGGTCTAAATCAACAGTGGTGTAATTCTCAACAGTACTTAAAAAATTAAATAAATGCTAGATCTGGATGTCTTCTGTTGACTTCAATGCATTCCAATGAATATTATCATCAGATAGTGTGCATATTTAAAATCACTGTGTTGATGCTACTGCCAAGTAGTTATAACATGCTCAGTTCTAACATAGAAACAAACCTCTTTGTCTTCTGTGAGCTTTGACAGTAGGTACACCAAAGAATCTAGATGTCTGGTATTTTTAGACTTCAGCTCATCATATTTCTTTAAAAAATCTTCAGGAGTTCTAGAAAACTCTGCTATTTTTACCTGTAAAAGACCACATGAATATTTAATGTTTAAGGTACATTATTATTCCAAAATTCCAGAGCAAAGTATTGCACAAGGAGGCAGAAAAGATGCAGGCTGCTGCCGCCAGCAGAGTACTTCAGGGTTCAGGCTTTGACTGAACAATGCAGCATTGGCCTCACACTGATAATTAAGATGGACTGATTTGGAAGGCAGCAATGAAAAGCAGTATTATGGCCACAGAAACACATCTGGTCATGAGGGTACCAGGCTTTAAATCCCAGACATATTCGATGATGTTCAAAGAAAAAAAAAAAAAGCCAGATACTATTCAAAAAATTATAAAGGTTGGAAAAAAGCACCTAAGATCATCTAATCCAATCGTTAACCCATTGCCACCATTAATGCCCACTAAACCATGTCCCTCAGTGCCACATCCCCACATTCCTTGAACACCTTCAGGGACGGTGACTCTACTACCTCCCTGGGCAGACAGTTCCAATAACTTAGCACTCATTCTGAGAAGAAGTTTATCTTTATATCCAATCTGAACTTCCCCGGCACAACTTAAAGCCATTACCTCATCCTTTTGCTATTATCTGGGAGCAGAAGCCAACATCCACCTTTCCCAGAACTTCCTTTCAGGGAGCTGTAGAGCAATAACGTCTCCCCTGAGCCACCTCTTCTTGAGGCTAAACAATTCCATTTCCCTCAGCTGCTCCCATAAGACTTGTCCTCCAGACCACTCACAGCTCTGTTGCCCTCCTCTGGATACACTCCAGGGCCTCAATGTCTTTCTTGTAGTGAGGGGTCCAAAACTGAACACAGCATTGAGGGTTTTTTTTTTACGATTACCTCCCTGATCCAGCTGACCAGACTGTTTCTGACACCACTGTTTCAGGATGCCACTGGCCTTCTTTGTCACTTAGCCACACTGCTGGTTCAATGTTCAGCTGACTGTCAACTAACATCCCCAGATCATTTACCTCCACTCAGCTTACCAGCCACTCTGCCCAGGCCCCAGTACCTGGCCTAAAGCTCATAGAGCAGGCCTCAGCCCAGTGATCCAGCCAGTCCAGATCCCTCCGTACATCTTTCTACCCTCAAGCAGATCGACACTTCCTCCCAACTTGGTGTCATCTGCAAACTTACTGAGAGCGAATATAATCACATTTAATCACACAGCTACTATTTTTCATTTGATTTACTTCTCCAGTAGATAACTCCTCTAATTAAAAATTGAACCAACCACGCCAGGCACAAAATAAGCTACTTTTAACACTTCCCCTCGAATGAACACACATCACAGGTACAGTGCTTGTACCAGCTCTGGCAAAGGAAGCTCAACACCTGCGGCAAGGCCCCAGGCACAGCTCCCTGCAACGCCACCCCTCTACCCACCTTAGCGCTGTGTGCAGACACAGAGGTGGTGACATAGGGCGTGCGGTTCTTCTGCAACAGGTCAATGTACACCTCAGCCCCCTCACCACCATGCACACGCAGCAGGCTGAGCAGCTCGTTGACATCGTGGTGGATGCGGAACTCATTCATGCTGTGAGTGAAAACCAAACTGCCGCTGCACAGGACACGGAGAAGAAAGGCAGAGAGTCAAGTTAGCGTTTTGGTTTAAGAATAATGCTTCCCAGCTGCGTTGTAAGCCCGCAGGGTGTGCTGAGACATTGGACAGGAACAAAGAAACTTGTGTAAGGGGAGCTGCAAGGAAAGTCCCTCGTCCTGCTTGCTTCTGCCCTGCTGCAGAATAGTTCTAAGGGTGGAAAGCAGCAGGGCTGCCTTCCAGGCACCATGTTAGCGGAGAGGTCTCCGAGGGCGGCGCTGACTCAAGGGGAGAGGGGCTGAAGCCCCGCAGAAGCTGCCGGGAGGGTTGTAAGGACGCCCGCCCTCTCCCAGCAGCGAGTCCCGCAGGCTGGAAGGCAGAAGCCGAAGGGCTCGCACTGAGTGCCCGCCGCGGCCTGCCGTACGTATCAGAACCACGCGCTACAGACGCAACGCCGGGCCCGTTCCGAGCGGCTCCCTGCAGCAGCGCTGCGGGTCCAAAGCCGACACAGAGAACGGGGCCGGGCGCCCACTCCGCTCTCCCTCCCCCAGCCTCCCGCAGCTTCGCGCCGGCCCCGGCCCTCTCCCATCCCTCCTACCCGCCCGGAAGTCTCCGCCGCGGCCGCTCGGAAGCGCTGCGGGCGCTTGCGCGGCCCAGCCCGGCCCATGCCGTTGTCCGTCCTCCGCCGCCGTTTGCGGGGTCACCCGCCGCTCCCCCCCGTCCCGCCGACCGCCCGGGCCCTGCCGCGGCCGCCCTTCGCTTTCTCCCCGCGCCCCCTGCGCCTGGGCCCGCGGCACCCGCTGTTTGAGGTGAGGCGAGGCGAGGCGAGGCGGGCGGCGCGGCGGCAGGGCTGCCCCGCGGCTGCCCCACGGCTTCCGTGTCCCCCCGCTGCAGGATGGCGACGTGCAGAGGCACCTGTACCTGCGGGAGGCCCTCACGGGCCGCGCCGAGGAGGCGGAGAGGCCCAGGTGAGCCGCGTGGAGGGAGAGCTCGGCCCCCAGCGCTGCTGGGGCCGGTGGGCCGCCCCTGATACTCATAGCGACTCATACCTTCGTCGGAGCTGTGTCCAGGCGCTCCCTGAGCGCCGGCAGCTTCTGTGCCGTGCCCACCGCCTTTGGGGCAGAGCCCTCTAGTAATGCTTGAACGTATGATCACTTACACGCCGAGGATGCCGTAACGTGCTGTCCTTCCCTTACAGGGTGTCTGAATTTTGCTGCCACATCTCCGGCTGCTCTCAGGTGTTCGACACGCTGGAGGGCTACGAGCACCACTACAACACACTGCACCGGAGCGCCTGCTCCTTCTGCAGGAGGTCCTTTCCCTCGGGGCACCTTCTGGACATCCACATCTCTGAGTGGCACGACTCACTCTTCCAGATCATGGCTGAGAAGCAGAATATGGTGAGGGCACGGCCAGGGCCCTGCTGCCGCACAGACCGGCCGTTCACCCTTCCCAGGGGGTGTCTTCTTTCCTTTCTTTCAGTACAAGTGCTTGGTAGAAGGCTGTGCAGAGAAGTTCAAGAGCAGCAAAGACAGGAAGGATCACTTGGTCACTGTTCACTTATACCCTGCTGACTTCCGATTTGACAGACCAAAGAAAGTGAAGAGGTAACTGCACAACGGCAGCAGCACAGCTGCTTTTTCCATGCAGAAGTGACATTGTGCATCTCTGCTGTCCCACTCCTTTCTAAAGCACACAAGCTGCTATCTAAAGAGCCCAGTAGTGAAGTTTTCTGCTTCTTGTGGGAATAGATATACATGTGGGACTTCATGTGACAATGTTTTGCCTTCTCCTAGTGTGTCTTCATTCTCTCCCTCTGTACTCTTTCAAGTCCAGCACTTTTCTCTGGCAGTGTGTGTTTGTCCTGCTTTCTTTCCAAGTCTTTGCAATATTCCTACTCCCAAAAAGTGTGAATAGAGCATAAGGAGGCTTTGTAAACCTGTCAGATAGCTTTCTCTTCTGGCCACTCATGCACAGAATTGTGTCATAGAATCATCTGAATAGGAAGGTACCTTTAAGCGCCATCTGGTCCAACTCCTCTGCAGTGAACAGGGACACCCACAGCTCCATCAGGTGCTTAGAGCCTCATCCAGCATGGCCTTGAATGTCTCCAGTGATGGGATACCACTACCTTACCAGGCAACTTGTAACAGTGCTTCTGCACCTTTATTGTAAAAAAAACTTTTTCCTTCTATGTGATCTAAGTCTCCCCTATTTATTTTGAAACCATTGTCCCATTACAACACTGTCCCATTGTCCTATCACACAGAGCCTGCTAAAAAGTGTACCTCCTTCTTTCTTACAGCCTCCTTTAGATACTGACGGGCCACTCTCAGGTCTCTCCAGTGCCTTCTCTTCTCCAGGCTGAACCACCCCAGCTCTCAGTTTGTCCTGATAGGGGAGGTGTTCCATCCTTTGGATCATTTGTGTGGCCCTCCTGTGGTCACACTCCAGCAGTTCATATCTCTCCCGTTCTGCTGTTTCCAAGCACTGCTTTTGCTATAAAGTCATCATTTCAAGGAGAACAGGGCAAGGGGGCCCTTTCTCCTCTTCTGGGGAGAAAGAAAGAAAAAACAACCCAATTAAGATAAGGAGAGAGAACAAATTTACTACAAATGGTAAAAGAATGTAAGATAATGAGAAATATTATTGAGTTATTAATACAATTAATAACTCAAATGGAAATGAGAAGAAGGCAATGACTGTGCTTCTTGCTGCACTGCTGGCACCCAGAAGCCCCTTCACCCCCCATTACCCGGAATTGGGGAGCATGTGGAAGCTCTTGGGAACTGTAGTAACATCTCAGTGTGTCTTCCTCTTAGAAAGTCAGAACTCACCTGAGACTTGCTGAAATGTCTTGATATAGAATACTGATATAACCAGAACATAGAATACAGGCACTGATGTTTAACAGTCTTCAGTGACATTGAGGATGGGATGATGAGAAAATTCCTTGCCCAGTGAAGTGGTACAGCCCTACCACAGGTAACCAGAGGGACTGGGAGTCCCAGAGCTTGCTTGTACTAACCTGCTTGTACCATCACCTCTCCACAGCAGAGGGCTGGACTGGAGGTGCTCCAGCCTCGTTTGGGAGCCCATTCATGCATTAAGCTTTATGAGTTGAAGAGTGACATGTAGGAACTAAGCTGTGTGCTGAATACTTTTGCTTATCTCTCCATCAGATTTTGCCCTGCAGCAGGTGTTTTGTGCAGCCAAATCTCGGTGCCTCTTTCATGCGGTAATTCTGCCAGGCCTGATGTGCCTTCTTTAAAATCCCTTTCATTTCTTTTGCTCCATGCTCGCATGTCAGCTGCTGAGAAAGGATGTCACATTTTGTTTCTGCAGTGGTGCCAAGCACGTGAGCTGTCCTACAGAATATGATGGGAGCATGCTGATGGATGTCAGTGTGGAGACCTCAGAGCAGCTCCAGGCAGACCACATGGAAGTAGTGCCCAGTGAGAGCATGGAGGTCCCTCAGCCTACAGCCAGCACTTCAGAACCAGAGAAGCGTCTCTATAAATCCAGGTCTGAGCCAAATACCTGCACAGGCAACAGTTTCTGGGGCTGGGACCATATTGTCTTAATTGCATAGTGCAATACCACTCTGGGTGTTTTGTGCTGGGTACAGAAGAGGTGTTATTTCTATTTATTTTTGAAAAGCACTTTCAAATAGAAAAAAGCATGAAGAAAAAAAGAGTGAGCATTTACTGCAAAGCTTTGTCAGCACCCTGTTGCTGTTGCTCTGCCAGCCCCTGCTATGTTCCCAGGGTACTGCAGAGTGATAGTGGTCTGAAGATAAGCTGTTGGAGTCCAAGCCCCCAAACACAAACATGTGTTTCCTGCTTTGTAATATTTTGCCATCCTAGCTGACTTTCCCAGGAAACTGACTGCAGCTTCCTGTGTTCCTATGGGGTCACAGAACAAGACACAAGCAAAGCAGGTCAATGCCTTATTCTGAATCATATTTTGCAAAGTCAGGTCAGCATTGCTGTGCTTTCTGATTTTTTTGCAAAAAGTTAAAAACAAATTGCCTGATGCTGGCTTCACTTACGAAGTCCTCTTCATCATGTACCATAAAACCTGCGTGAGGTAGTATGTGATCAAAAAGTTGCTGAAACAGCACCTGAATCATTGTCATTTATTGATCACTTTAATGGCCTCTAAACACATTGTGTTTTTTCTTGAACTCTCCCAGTTGGCAAAGGGATGCTTGTACTTTGAGTTTGTCACACCTGAGATGCCAGCGTGGTCCATCCAACAGAAACCTGACCCCTCTATTTGTCCATGGGGTTACAGTGATACCAGGCAGTGCCAAGGTGACGTGTTAAACTTGACTGCTTTTTCACGAGTAACAGGTTATATGCCATTAAGAAATGCTGTCTTGAATTTGATGTGACCCTCCTGGTTGCTGAAAGGCCACACTTTTCTTGCTTCTTCTCTGCAATCATACACTTTTGCAAAAATAACACTGTAACTTCCCAGCAGCATGTTACGTTTTTCCCATTGTGAAGAGAGATGAGAGGCATCCGTCACATAAATGTGCCCCGTCAGTGGAAGACAACCAGCGTTTCACCTATATTTTGAATTGGCATCGGTGATTTAGACTCTGGGAGCCTGAAACCATGGAGGATGTAAAATATCCCAGTGCTGCTGTAGGTGGTGGGGTGCTAAGCAATGAGTAGGGTGTGTGTTGGAAATGGGCCGATGCAGAGAGCTTGTCCTGGCAAATTGGTGTGCGGCCAGACCTTCGCACTTGCAGCTTGTATCTTGGAGAGATTAGTCAATTTTGTTTTGGTATCAAGTTCCCCAAAAGATTACTCTTTTACCTCCAACACCGTTGCCTTGCATTCCTGGGCTAAGTCAGCTTTGTCTTTTAAAGCATGACTGTTGTTGCTAGTTGACTGGTCACAGCAGGACTTCTGCTGATAACAGAGGGCAAAGATCTCACAAATGCATGTTAACTGGCGTCTCTCTTCCAGGATCCCGTCCACAATCTGCTTTGGACAGGGTGCCACCCGAGGATTTAAAGACTCACGTAAGAAAGTGTGAATGTCAGCACAGTAGATTTGCGCAAGACAAAAAGACACCAGCAATTGCGATTGAAGCCCCTGTGTCCAAGCAAGAATGTTTGCCATTGCGTGCAAGGATCTGCTCCATAACGGGAAGGTGAAAAGGAGAAAAGAGCAGTGGTGCAGTTCAGAATATCTAGATGCGTCGGGAGGTACTTTGCCACAGTCCCTTTGTGTCTGTGTACCACATCTCTTTGGCAGAAATTGAGAGAAGAGCCTCGCTTGTATTTATTCTCCGTTAGACACAAAAGCTCTCCTCTCTGATTTCCCCTGAAATCAAACTGGAAATAAATTTTTCTGCCTCTCTGCTGTTGAGTTTCTGTGTCTCATCAGCTGCTGCCCGGAGATGTAGGTGGAGCCAGGCAGATGGTATGAGTCTTTGAGATTTTCCCCAAATATCTCCAAGTCAATTGGCTAGAGAGGGTGTATCCCCTTATGCCTTCTTTCCTGTTTAGCCCTGTTCTCCTGGGAGGAAAGTTCTACCAGAGGCACATGTACCCTTTTCCTTATGTTCTGAGTAAACCACAGAGCTCACAGCTTCCTGTGCCTATGGTCTCTTTAAACTGTGACATTCAGTAAATGGTCCACAAAGGAAAAAAAATGGAATCACAGGCTGTTGGTATGGCATTTATCCAAGAAGCTTAGGATTTGTAATTGCTTCTTTTCCCTCCCTCCTCACCAGGAGGAATAAAGGATAAAAGAGGCTTTGAAAAATCCTTGCAAATATGAGCAGGGAGCAATTTCTATAGATTTCTTTGGGAGTTTTAAAATGCCTCATTCTGTTTAAAAACAGCTGGTTAGTTCACCTTGCTCCTCAGCCTGCAGAGAGAGCTGCCCCAGGCTGACAGATCTGGTGACAACGGGCACTGCAGGTGCTGGGGTGGAGGGACTGAGGGCAGCAGGAAAGTGTGGCTGGAGGAAAGGCAGATGACGGACAAGATGGAGAAAAGTCCTGGCTGCAGGGCTGGGCTGGGAGGAACAGCAGATGGAAGGCAGGGATGGAACAAGTGGGATGCAATGAGATGGGATGTCAGGCCTGTGCCATCACCAGAGCTGCATCAGAAAGACATGGAACTGTTGGAGTGGATCCAGAGCAAGCCACAAGGACAGAGGGCTGGAGCACCTCTGCTAAGGAGACGGGCCTAGAGCAGGGGTATTCAGTTGAAGAGAAAGCATGGAAGAGACCTTAGAGTGGCCTTCTAGTATCTAAAGGGGCTATAGGAATGCTGGGGAGGAGCTCTCTGTCAGGGGAGGTAGAATCACATCACAAAACTGGAGGATAACCTAAGATGGCATGGACCCCCCAGCATTATTGAATGCAACTCTGGGCTCTGCACAGCACCACCCAAACCCTACGTCTGAGAGCAGCACTCCAGCACTCCCTGAGCTCCAGCACTCAGGGTTGTGCCCACTGCCCCGCACAGCCCATTCCACCCCACCGCCCTCTGCCACAGAGCCTTTCCCTCACCCCCAGCTGCCCTCCCCTGACAGCTCCATGCTGTTCCCTCGGCCTGTCGCCGTCACACAGAGCAGAGCTCAGCGCTGCCCCTGCGCTCCCTGTGAGGAGCTGCAGCCGCCACAAGGCCTCCCTTCGGCTCCTCTACTCTGGACCAGACAGACCCAGGGACCCTAGATGCTCCTCACACCTCCTGCCTCCCAGATCCTTCCCCATCTCTGGAGCCCTTCTTTGCATGCTGTGAAACACTCATGTTAAGATTCATCTCCCAGGGGAAAAATGGATCAGCAAAGGAATTGCAACCTGAAAGCACCAAATCCATCCATTTTCCTTCAGAGGCAGGAGCTGAAGATAACCTCATGCTGGAGAGAAACCCTGCTGTGCACAGCACATGGGGCAGGAGAGCCACTGAGAGCAGCTGAGCAGGTGCTCAGCTACATGATGGCGATGGCGCTGCACAGCTATTCTCCTTTCACTGTTTATTTCAGCTGGCCTAGTTTGGATTCCTAGTTTGGTGTTGAGGAATGAGTTTGCAGACCTGCAGCCCTCAGCAGCTGCTAACTCGACTGCTGCTGGTGCTCTGCAGGGTGTATGTATACAAGTGCACGATGGGGCGCACCTGCATGACCCACACCACTCCCCATGCAACCACACGACATGCGTGGCTGCACCACACCCAGGGGCAAAGTGCGGGGCAAGGGCTATGCACAGGCAGAGGCACCATGGGTCCCTGTGGTGTAGCTGTGCTGCTGGGTGCAGCTCTCCTGCTGCTAGCCCCCGAAGGCACCCAGGTGAGCCCACAGCTCTCTGTGGCCCAGGGCCGGGCACAGAGCTGACCCTCACCTTGTCCTTCTCTGCTGCAGGCTCTTGGTCTCAGACGGGATGTGGATGCGGAGCAGAATCTGGCAAAAGAGATGTAAGAGGGGCTACAGCCACACTGCCTGCACCTCTGAGTGCTGCATTGTGGCTGGGATCGGGCTGGGGAAAGCAGTGGGCAAACATCAGTGGGCAGCCTGGTCTAGTGGCTGGCAACCCTACACATAGCAGGGGGGTTGAAACTAGATGATCATTATGGTCCTTTTCAATTCAGACTGTTTATGATTCTATGATTCTATGATTAGGCACTTTAAGGGGATGTATTATCCTTGCTGCTTTGAATTCCTAACAGTTAAGGGGCTTCCTGCTCATGCATTTCCCCTCACATCACTCAAACCCTCTAAGCTGCATGGCCCTGGTTTTGCTTCACCTTGCTTCAAAGCTGCTATTGCTTCCCTTGCAGCAATGCTGCCATCGTGCCTGTGCCACTCGTGAGATGAGCACCCAAAGAGCCCACTAATTCATGTTTTAAATCCAAATGGACCCACTCAGCCCTCAGCAGGCACTGACAACATGGGGTCAGCTTTCATGACTTGCTGCCCCACGGGCCACCTCTGCTCTCTTACAGCATCCAGGCCGCACAGAAGGCAGAGGAAGCCAAGCTTGCCAAGGACACTCCCTCACGGCCTCTGTTCCCTCCAGACCCTGCTCGGGTCCAGGTGGGGCCAGAGCAGGACCGCGACCATCTCTACCACCCTTCAGTCAAGGTTGAGGTGGAGCCTGAACTCCAGTCCTGCAGAGAGCGCCTGGTTCTATCAGCAGAAGTGGAAAATGGCCCCTCAGAGGATCGTGACCACCTCTACCACAGCTGAATGAGGCTCCAGCCCTGCCCTCCCCTTGGGCCCCCAGTAAACCTCTCCTTGTTGAGCAGCCTGGTGGATGCCTGGTTTCTGACAGGAATAGGAGAGTCCAGCAGGCCAGGGGGCTCGGCCTGTCACCCCAGCCCCAGGTCAGCCCATAGGAAGGGCTCCTAGCCATCTCCAGTGCTTCTCAGTTTGGGAACTCCCAACAAAAACGATGCAACGGCAGCACCAGGAAAGCCTTTTAATAACAATAACAAGCAAAACCCTGCTGAGGATCTTGCCCAGTGTGGGCATCAGTCAGTGTCGGGTGCTGGCTCCCTCTGCGGTGCCAACAGACCCGTCCTTCATTTTGAGGCACATGGCTGGTGAAGGACAGCAAAGGGGAACAAGTGTCTGCTGGTTCTGCAGCTCAACTGTCAGTGAAGTTGGCTTTGCGCTTCTCCACAAATGCAGTCATCCCTTCCTTGCGATCGTCCTGGTGGCAGAGAATGGGTTGGGGTGTTCCACAGCCTCACCCTCCCTGTGTTTCCAGGGCCAGCCCTGTACTCACGGTGGCAAAAGTGGCATAGAAAAGGCGCTTCTCTGTCCTGTTGCCCTCTGTCAGTGTTGTTTCGAACGCTGGAGATGGGGACAAGGAGATTGAGAAAAGATGGGGATGAGGAGATGGGACACGATGAGAGACGAGGAGATGGGAACACCATTCAGCCCCCTAAAACCCTGAGTTCACCCCATCCCTGACCCCCATACCAGCATTGACGGACTCCTTGGCCATAGCTACCACCAGTTTGGAGTTGGTAGCGATCTTCTCAGCGCAGCCAATGGCCGCATCCAGCAGCTTCTCCGTGGGGAAGACTTTGCTGACCAGACCTGGGGACAAGCAGAGAGGTGGTAGGGGAAGTCCTCATTGTGCCCCCAGCCACACCCACACCCCTACCTGCCGCTTTGGCCTCCGCCGCCGAGATCCGCTCCCCAGTCAGCACCATCTCCATGGCCAGCGACTTGCCCACAGCCCTGGTCAGCCTCTGCGTTCCGCCGGCGCCTGGGGGTGGGGCGGTGGGCATGGCAGCAGGCACGCGGCTGTCACCAACCCGCCCGGGACACACAGCCTCCACGCTCACCTGGGATCGTCCCCAGCAGGATCTCGGGCTGCCCAAACTGCGCCTTCTCCCCGGCATAGATGATGTCGCACATCATGGCCAGTTCGCAGCCGCCGCCCAGCTGCAAGCACAGTGAGGCTATGGTATATGGGCAGCACGGACGTGGGACACGGGGACACAGAAGGGGCACTCACAGCGAAGCCATTAACGGCGGCGATAGTGGGCTTGCGGACAGTGGCCACCCGATCCCAGCCAGCCAGGAAGCCGCCACTATAGCACTCCTGGAAGGTTTTGTTCTGCATCTCTTTAATGTCAGCGCCGGCTGCAAGGGGGACCGCCTATGCTGTACCCAAAGGGCTGCGTTGGGATCCCCAGAGGAGGGGGGTGGGACCACAGGGTGTCGGGGCCGTACCAGCAAAGGCCTTTTCACTGCCGGTGATGACAATAGCTCCCACCTGCCCATCGGCCTCGAAGGCGTCCAGCGCACGCCCCAGCTCCTCCATCAGCCCCGCACAGAGCGCGTTGAGCGCCTCGGGCCGCTGCAGCCGGATCAGCCCCACGCTGCCGCCCGCCCCGGCCTTCTGCACCTGCAGGAAGCGGAACGGGGGCCCTGCGCGGCCAGGTGACCGCGCGCCATTATGGGGCGATCTTCACCCAGGTGGGCGGTGGGCTCCGCGCTCCATGGGGGTGGCTCCCGGTGCCCCTCGCCCGGTGCCGGTGTCCCGAGCACGGCCTAAGCCCACTGCCCGCCCCTGGCTCCAGGTGCCCTTTCTTCCCCCCACCCCGCAGCGCTCCCCTCCCAGCGCCCGCTACCGCCGACCCTTCGCTCACCGTCGCTGTACCCTCGCCCCGCCACGAGGGGGCGGAGTGCCGCCAGAAGAGCGCGGCGCCGCGCGGCACCGGCGCAGACACCGGCACCGGGGCGGAGGAGGGCGCGCAGCGAGGCCGCCATTTCGCTGCGAGGCGCAGAGCTGCGCGGCCACGCCCCCGCCGTCCTGCAGCCTCGCTCCGCCCCGCGCCCATTGGTCGGCGCTGCCGCTGCCCGCAGCGCGCCTGTGCCATTGGCCGACGAGGGCCCCGCAGCTCCCCACGCCTGTCCGCTCTTCACGTCTCCCGAGGGCGCGCGGCGCGGCCCCGTGGCCACCGCCCGACGCCGAGAGGAGCGGAGTGGGTGGCAGCCCCGGGGCTAGCGAGCGCGGAAGGGAGGCGCCCACGCGGGACGTGGGAGCGGAAGGCGTCGGGGATCGCTGCGCGGATGCGCGGCCCCTGCGCGGAGAGGTGCGTACGGCCGTGCGTTGGCCATGCACGGGTGCGTCGGAGCTCGAGCCCATGGCTGCGGGAGGTCGTGCGGATGTGCAGCGCGTGCAGGGGGACACCGCGCGTGTGGTCGGGCACACCGGGTGCAAGTGCACGTGCAGGGCTGATGACAGCACAGCGGCTCACACGTGTCTGTGCAGCCCGTGTGTCAGCGCGTGTGGCAAGCATGTTGATGTGTGTGACACACACATGTCATCCATGTGTCAGTGTATGTAATACATATGTTGGTGCATGCAACATATTTGTGCAATCCATGTGTTATGCAAGATATGTAATGCATGTGTTGGCATATATCGCAGACACTTGCAAACCATGTGCTTGTGCACCCCAGGTTCCAGTAACACACATTTTGGTGCAAATGACATGTGTAATCCACGTGTCATGCAATTGACATGCATGTTGTGAATGTGGCATGCATGTGTAATCCCTATGTTGGTGCATGTGGCACACACACAACACATGCACATGCAGGCTGCAACCAGGGCTGCATGCACGCACCATGCATCCCACGCATCGATGCATGTGCAAGGCATAGGGAGACTTCATGGCTGCCTGCATGCCTGTACAGCCCGTGTTGACGCGTGCGATGTCTGCAGCCCATGCACGATGTGACTGCACTCACACACCACATATGGGTGCGCTGTAAGCCAGGGTGCATGCATGATCCTGGCACATGCAGTGCTTACAGAGCTTCAGTGGGTGCATGCACAGGACCAGGGCTGGTGCACACAGACACATTGCGCATGCACGTAGTGAGGTGAGCACCTGCCCACAGCAGAGCCCTCCCTGTATGCAGGTCAGCAGGATGAGGCAGTGTGTGGCCTGCTGCTGGGTGCTGCTACTGCTTGCTGCCACCTTCTGCCAACCGGCCGCCGCCAAAGGCGGGCGTGGGGGCTCCCGGGGGGCTGCACGCGGCATGGCACGGGGGGCTGCCCGCAGCCGGCACAGGGGCCTGCCACGCTATGGCGGGGCCCTGCGTGTGGCTGTGGCAGCAGCAGCTGGGGCAGCAGCTGGAGCCGCACTGCACCAGGCCCAGGCAGAGACGGAGTACCACGAAGGCAATGGGACAGCCTGGACATCGCTGGCATCAGAACAGGTGGAATGGGGCTGGGCCGTGCCATGGCTCTGTCCACTCACTGCCATCCTGCACCACTGATGGCATCCACTGGGACCACTGGGTTCCTAAAGCGATCCCACAGCAACGTGGAAATAAAGCTGGGTGACACCACGTGTGGCTGGACACGGCCCAAGCAAGGACCGGGTGCAGGTACGGGGATAGCTTTAACACCCTGCACCGAGGCCTCTGGTTTTACTTGGGGCTACAGGTGACACCTGCACGGTTTGGGCTTCCCCGGAGGCTGTGCCTTCCCCTTCCCTTTCCCACCAGTCCCAGTGGGGAGGATGCAGCCATCACGAGGTAACCCATCTAGGAACAAAGCAGCTTTAATCACACCATGCCACCACCTGGAGCTGGGGGAGATGTGGCATGCCCTGCTCTACTCCAAGACCCTCAGTCCAATGTCAGTCTACCCAGGCGCCCGGCACGGAAGGCCCGCAGGAACTCATAGGCAGCAGCTGAGTAGTTGAGCATCATCATGTTGACATTCCCTGCAGAATGGACAGAGAGGGTTGCCACAATCCTCAGCAGAGCCCACAGCCCACTGATCCCCAAACCCCATACTCACCTGTGCCTGTCAGCACCTTCACCTTCTGCGTCTTGCCCAGGGTGACCGCCACGTACTTCAGCACATGCCTGATGTTGTCACTGGCCTCGGGCAGTCCATAGCGCTCCATGTATCTGCAGAGAGGATGCGGCACCCACCCACATCTCGGGGTGCCCCAGCCATGCCCTGCTCCCCACTCACCCAAACTGCTGCTGCTGGTTCAGTACGTACAGCAGGTAGTCAGCCATGATGTCCTCACCCACTAAATGGTCACGGATGGCTCCTGCCAGAGGGAAGCCCCCAGCCTTGTCAGCTTTCTCCACACAGCCTGCCCCAGGCTTCCCTGCTCCATGGCCCCATACCACACAATGCCAGCTTCATCCCCGTCTCCACATCGGCCAACTTTGGGGGCAGCACACCTGGCGTGTCCACCAGGTACATCAGGGGAGTCTCGCACACCTGTGGTCCCACCACCAAGACCACAGGCTCAGCGGGGGCTCTTAGCCAAGGCCTCGCTGCAAAGTGATGAGGCGCTTCATGGGAGAAAGTCTGCACCCTGCAGCCGCACCCACAGGGGGAGATGGTACCTGGATCCGGGTCAGCACCGCCTTGGTGACACCTGGCTCACCACCCACTGCTGTGGCTCTTCCTTTGGAGAAAAGGAGAGAGTGAGGGTGGTGCGTGATGCTGGAGCAGCAACCTCCCGATGCTACGGAAACTTGGGTGTACCCTTTTTGAGGTGCAACCTCCGCAAAGAGTTGATAAGCGATGACTTGCCTACGTTGGGCACGCCGATCACCATGATGCTGTACTCGATACTCTGAAAGCAAGGAGGACACGTGCAGGTGCTGTGCTCCACCAGAGGACATACCCAGGCTGCAGCCTCCCTGCCCCTACTCACCTCAGCCCGGTGGTAGCGTGGGCTGCTGCTGATTAGCTTGGCGACCAGGGGCACAATCTGTGGGAAGTGGGGAGGATGCTCTCACCGCAGCCTCAGGGCCACTGAGGACACAGCAGCAGCACAGTACCTTCTTGACATTGCCATCCCGCTGACAATCAGTGAAGACAACATGCGAGCATCCCTGCTGCCTCAGTTGCTCCAGGACTCTCTGTGGGGACAGGAGCTCACTAGTATTGTCCTACTGAAGCCCTGCGGGGTCCCAGCCCACTCTCTGCCTCCAGCACTCACTGACTGCTGGCGTAGGTCAGCCAGGTCCATCTTGTTCAGCACCAGAAGATGTGGGCGGATGCCCAGCACCTCCTGCAGCACAGGATTACGGCCTGACAGTGGGATGTGTGGCTGCTAAGGAGAACAACTGTGGTATGAGGGAAAATAGGAGAGTGGGGGGCTGGTGTGGCATGTGGGACGAAGAGGCTTGGAACTAGGTAACAGCACAGATGCAGGGCTTAAAGGGGCGCTGAAGCAACTGCGTGCTGGAGCAGATCACAGAGAAAAGAGGGGCATGGGGGCTGGTTTGGGGGGTTATGGGGCTGAGAGCAAACTACCTCATGGACAGATGAATATGGGTACAGGGACCAAAAGGGAGTGAATGAATGACTATGTGCAGAGGCAGACGTAGGGGAAAACATGGTCGGGGACCGGTATGGGACCTTATGGAAAACAGGAGGCACCATTTTGGGGGTTGCGGGGCCGGTGCATCTCAGGGGGATTTCGGAACTTAGATCGTGGTACCCGGAGGGCGGTACGGCACGGAGACAGCGCGTGCTGGAGAAAGCAGGGAGCTGGGAGGCAGTCTGAATGCCGTGCGGGGGGCCGGTGCCGCTCGAGCGGCTTAGGAACTGGAAGCACTTGGCAGTAGGGCACAGCGCAGGACTCGGCGTCTAAGGATATACGAGCGTCGTGCACCTCGACGAGACAGTCGGCACGCCGCAAGGAGGCCCGCATCTGCCGCAGTCCTGCAACACAACGCCCGCTGAGCGGAGCGGCCAGAGGCACCGACGGGAAGGGCCCCCCCCGCCGCTACCGGGCACTCACCTTTGGCCATGTGCCCGGGGAACCATGAGGCCGCATCGCGGCTGCCGAAATCGAAGCGGGTGCGGAACCCGCCCGACTCCGAGCACGGCCCCAAGGCGGCGGCGGCGCGCAGCAGTCCCACCCAGCTCCTCATGACACTTCCGGTGAGTCACTTCCGGCCGTCACTTCCGCCGTGAGAAGCGGAAAGAGGAAGCGGAGCGGCGCTGGGAGGTGAGTGCGGGGATGCGGTCGTGGCGGGGGGCGTGGCCCGACCCAGCCGTGACACAGCGCTCTTTCAGCGTCATGGCGGAGCCGCGGCCCAGCGGGGAGTCTCGGAGCTCAGCGGTGGGTCCGGGCCCAGCGCCCGCCGCGCCCACCGCGGCTCCGCAGCCTCCTTCGCAGCCTACTTCGCAGCCACCTGCCGCCCCGCAGCCCCCCCCGGACGCCGCCTCGCAGCCAGGCCCCGCGACGGCCCCGCTGGACGACACGCGCTTCATGATCGCCGGCACCAACTGGTACTGACGGTCCGCGGAGGACGAGCGGCCGGCGGGCAATAAACCAGGCGGAACTCTGTGGGGAAGGAACCTTTATTACGATCGGGCCGCGGCCCGCGGGAGGTGGTTGAGGCGTTCGGCCTCCCGCCAACCGGACAGCAGCGCGCCGTGCGTGGTGGAATAGAAGGAGCGGTGCGTGGCCTCCCCCGCGAACAGCACCTGCAGCGGCTACGGGGCGGGAGTCAGGGCCGGGAGCAGCATCAGGCCCACCCGTGGCTACACGTGCCCACAGCTCGCCTGAGGCCGTCCCTGACGCCAGCCCATTGAGTGGGTGCCTGAGGCCTTGGGGAAATGCCCCATGCCTGGAGGGTGCTGGGATACATTCTGCGGGCCACACCTCCCCAGTTTAAGAGATGAGGTGTTCCCCACCCTGTCCCGCCATTCCACACCAAAGGACCCAAGTGACCCCGCACAGAGCTCTGTGCTCCTCGGGCACATGCTACTGCACACCCCATTGCACACTGGAGCTGTCCCAAATCCCACGCTATTATTACCCTCCATGCCCTTACCCTTGGGTCAGATGCATCCTCGGGCAGTGGCTGTGCCAGTATGTCTATGTCTTCTCCAGAGCTTCCGACAGCCACGTAGCTGTAGGAGCCACGTGTGTAGGGAGTGCTGTGCCAGCAGGAGCGCAGCACACTGCAGGGTGTGGGCAGGTGCGGGTTGCCTGTGGGCCATGGGGCACATCTCAGGGCCGGACAGAGCCCCCAGCCTGCTGGGCCTCTTCCTGCATATGGAGGTGTTGGGGAGGTGGAGGATCAGGTACCTGTCAGTGTGCGGAGGACCTGGGTCATGGTGCTGAGAACCTCAGCGTCGCTCAGTGTCTCCATGTACTCTGACTCCTTGCCAGCAATGAAGCCACAGAGGACGTGCCCAACCCTGGTGGGGAGAAGGAGCACCCGATGAGAGGTGGGGACTGAGTTGCACAGCCTGAAGCCCTGCCTGCTCCAGACCGCATCGCCCTGAAAGACCCCCAAACCAGCACTGCGTAGGGCCAAAGTGCCGGGCCACCTACTGCTCTGGTGGCTGCAGGACCACAAAGCCAACAAGCTTCTTGAACCAGTTGGCCTTCATGTCGGTACTGGGCTCAGCAAGAGGTGATTCGTCCTCCCACACTACTTCCAGCATCTGCTGCTCGGGCTCCCAGAAGGGCTGCTCAAATTCCAGGAAGATCTTGTTGTTGGTGCCAAAGCCTAGGCGGCGAATAGCCTCTGCCTTCCTCTGAGGCAGGGGAGGCTGGAAAAAGTCCTGATGCCGTTCCTTGAGGAAACCTACAGAGAGAAGGTGGGGTAGCTTCCTTCCACTGCAACCAGGCCACTTGCCCCAGGGGCTCAGTGGAGTGATGCAGTGGTTGGGCAGGGCCCCTCAAGCCTCACCCAGTGGGACGGTGACAATAACATGGTCAGTGAGAAAAGAGTCACCATCCTCGCACTCCACCCGGACAGGGAAGTCCCTGTCTGTGTCCCCCTCCTCACAGAAGGACCCCTGCCACTGGATAGTCCTCACTGGTTTGTTGAGCAGGACGGTGCCCTCTGGCAGGGTCTCCAGCATGCGCTCAGGCAGGCTGCTGTAGCCACTGTAGGAGAGGATAGGACCAGAGACACCTTCCTTCACTGCCACGTACCCCTGCACAGGGTGTTCCCGGTGCTCCTGCTCACCCTGGGAAGGTGCAATCCAGGCCAGGCAGCGAGGTGTACTCCCCAAAGGACCCCAAGGCCACCATGTCCATGCTGTGGGTGCCACTGATGCAGCACTCCAGCTTGAGGCAGGCACTGAGGATGGCCAGCCGCAGCTGTTTGTCATCCTTGTCCTCATCCCAGGCGGAGGCCAGCCGGGTGATCTCTGCCCGCAGGTACTGCCCCACGCTGTTGGCTGGTAGCTCCGACACGCCCGCGAGGGCCTGGGCCGTGCCCAGCAGCTCGCTGAAGAGGCTGCGGGTGCTGCTCACCAGCTCGGGGCTCAGCACCTTCCCTGAGCTACCGTAGGTGATGACAGGCAGCAGCGGGTGCCCCTTGGCCTCCACCCGCTGATTCTCCTCCTCGGTGGC